GCTCTGCGTTGTTGTACACATAGTCCATCTTGTTTATGATGCCATCTTTCGAGATTGCATCGTCTTGATCAATGCAAATTGCGTCGACCCATAGATAAGTGCCGCCGAGGTTGGTGGTGGCGAGGATCGCATCTCTTATTGTCAGGGGTAGGGAATGTACCTCCAGAGGATAAGCTGCTTCATCTACTCTTCTTATCGCTCTAGGTCGCACAGCGCCCCAGCAATAACTCAAGGCGAAGTAGCTCATATCCGTTGAGCTGTCAACGAGGGTTGGTGGGTTAGTTCGGCAGTCGATGAGTCTTGTCTTGATAATTAAAGCAGGGTCCATTTTCTTGCAGCTTGGGTGGCTGGACCGACACTGCTGTAAACTGCGGATGATATGATCGTATTCGATGATGCTTGGATCAATATGCCGTGCATATGCAGTGCCGTCTGAAAAAGCCCAGGCGCCACTTGGGCCCTGGCCAGCTGGGAAGATTAGGTGTTCTGACAAGGGCCCTGGTTTCCATGTTTCAAAGGCTTGCACACTTGGGCCAGACCAATGCAGCTTTAGACACTTATGATAAGAACCATGAGAGTCTTGGATCGGGGCTTTACGAGAAGAGCTCTTCTGCCTGCAGGACTGGGCCAGAAGATAGCCTTCGCCAACCTCATCAAACGGATATTGGGGTTTGTTGAGGAATACAATCTTTGCACAAAACACACAGCACGGACATGTCGAATTGAGCATCATTCGATCGAGCGTGCCAATGTCGGCAACTGCAGTCTCTTGTGAGCTTGGCCGAGTCTCCAGCCATCGGAAGATGGAATCAAAGTTGATACGTCTACACCGCCCGCAGAAAGCGCGATTTGGACTTTGCTCGGCGGAAGGATACTGGAAATGCTTGACAGAACGCAATCTTTCTTGCTTTTCCCTCTGCGAGCCGCGAACAGTGACAGTTGCTGGGTTGTCTGTCATGTTTCGAGAAATGAGAAGATGGAGGGTTGGGACGATCAGATTCAGGCGAGGGAGATGTGGCGCTTTTATTTCTTTGATGTTGACGGGGCACAGCCTTGCACAGCCTCACAATTACACAGCCTTGCCGACCCCACGTGATACCTGCACTGGCCGAACTGGGTAATCTCGGGCGAGGCTGGCAGCACTCCCACGACTCTTTTTTGCTGAGCTTCATCGGTTTATCTCAACACCCAACGTCCTCTGTGTCTCGCCCCTAGCTTCACACTTGCTTTTTCGGCCTGGGAGCACCCTATAACAAGAGCCGTATCTCCGTGAACGCAGCCTCCACGGTCATTTTCACGATAGGCATGTGAGCCCTTCCCATGCTGGCTTTACGGTACGCACGTGGAGCACGCCTTTCATGAACCTTATGGTTGCGGGAGGGGTCATCTGGTGGACTGGAACGCCATGAGCACCAGCAGCGGGGCCATTTGCGCGGTTGTACGCTTCTGCAGGACCACCAACGATGTAGTTCATGTTGCTGTGCTGGACTGGGTAGCCCGCATTGACCGGACGCGACGGTTGGAACAATGAACACTTCACTGGCAGCCATCACTAGAGTCAGGTCAACAAAAGAAAGTAACAATCTAGAGCACAATCACTTACTGTCTCCCCAGATGGCCGAACTGTAGCTCACATCAACATTAGCCCACTTATTCTCCCCTGGTTCCGCCTGCCTCTTGGATCGATTGTGAGATGTGCCTTGAGAGGGGAGTCCAACCAACATCGCCTTCGATCGAGTCAGAAACATGCATGATGGACGGCAATAGCAAGGTCAAGGTAGCGAGATTTTGTATCCTGGACACTGGCAGTGAAATTGTCGCATTAGGATAAAAATGTGAGGTAGGATCAGGAAGGAAAAAAGACTCGAGGAGATTGTCCAGCAGTGGATCAATTCAGCGCCGATGCCATCCTGCCTTCTTTCTTGATCACCTGATATGCCTTATGTACAATCGCGGGAGTGGAGGCAAGGAGTGCCTATTTTGGATGTCGCGCATTTTTTTCCAACTCTTCGCGACTTCTAGCTCTCACTTGCCGCTTTTTGATAGCCTCTCAGCTTCCAGCTCCCGCTCTGCTTGCTGGTAATACTTGGCTGTGTCCACACCATGCTAGAGCGCATCAGCTCGTTAAATCCTTGCCCGTCCAATGATACTATACTCACCTGGTTGTGGTTAACGAAATTTGCCCATGGTACCACATTTGCCATCAATGCTGAGTATCTGCTGTTTCGCGCCGCGACACCTTGCATGTATGGAGTGAGATCCGACTTGCCATAAAGCGGCTCCCCCCTCTTGACTTTATCGACCATCTCCCTCATATCCATCTTGACTTCTCGCTCGTTTTCCGTCCAGCCGTAGAATCTCACTGTAATGCGACCGTCTTTGTTAGTCCAAGCTCAGCCAGAATTGACCTGAGTATTCGTCCTCGAGCCAAAAACCTACAGCAACTCCTCTGGTATACCAATCCTGCGCCTGCTAATATACCAACGGCACAACCGAGTCTGAAGGCCATGGGAAAAGCACCTCTGCCGGCAAACGAGGGAGCGTATCGTTCGGTGATGAGCATGAAAGCCGGAGCTACGGCTGCCATTCCGGCTCCGTATAGCCAATCTTCTTTTCTTGCATATCCAAATGCTCTTCTCCAGTGACTGAAAGTTCATTGCGTTAGTGAAAGGTCATCAGGAGCTTCTAACCGTGTGATCAAGGAGGGACCTACGGATCTGTGTCGATAATCTAGCGGAGATTTGTGTTAGCTTTATTCTATGTCTCATTGTCGTTTGACTCACTGGATAGTCTGTGTTCACCCGCTTGGGCGGGATGAAGACCTTCTGCTCATCGGCCATGGCTGTAGCGACAGTCCTCACTTGAAGATGCTCCTCAGCATTGGATGTCGAGGTTCATCGAGCATGCGGAGCTTGAAGTGCCAAGGAGCTAGATCAAATTAGGATTAGTTCATTGCTTTCAAATGACGTAGTCACGACGCGTCCGAAACTCCGCGCGCAGAGAAGCGCGTTCTTCACGGCTCAACCCAACCCACCACCAGACACCTCTTTGCAATACTGAATAAGACACTGCAACAACATGGCCGCCGATCCTCTCACTGCAGCAACTGTTGATGCTATCCTTAACCTGGACAATTCTGATTATGAGGAGTCCTCTAATCATAGACCACCACAGCGAGATCGTGACGACAGCCCAACATCGAGCCCCCAGGGCAAACGAAAAGCAATAAACGATCTCGATGCTAGCCTAGGGTTGGACGAAGAGGTCAAGGTCACAAAGAAAAGGAAACCGATTTCAAAACTCGACGAAGCAAGGCTCCTCTCTGCACCAGGAATCCCAAAGCTACGCGCCGATGCATGCTCTGGGAAATTCTCCCAAAAGCTACGTCTCAAGGGAAAGGGACATGAATTTTCCGACGTCGCACGGCTGTTGAACTACTATCAGTTGTGGTTGGACAACTTATACCCGCGAGCCAAATTTGCCGATGGACTGCAGTTGATCGAGAAAGTCGGGCACAGTCGACGCTTGCAAGTCATGAGGAAAGAGTGGATTGATGAAGGTAAGCCAGGATATATCAGAGACAGAGAGGCAAAGAAGACGGGTGAAAAAGAGAGGGAGGCGAATAAGGAGACAGCTGATCTGTATGCTGGAGACCGGCCGGTTGAGAATGGAGTGGACCAGGAGGCACCCAATGCTGGCGACGGCGCCGAAGATGACTCTTTGTTCGTTCCCGACCTACGCACCGAGGCGACTAATGGAAATGATGATGGTCTTCTTCCAGATGATGACGACCTCGATGCTCTGTTAGCCGAGCAAGAGACTCGCATCACTATGCGCCCTGCATCTGCATTGAAAGCCACAATGAACGACGATTCCGAAGGCGACGACGATCTAGACGCGTTATTGGCCGAGCAGGAAATGAAGCGTGCCCACCCTCTCCCCTCTACATCTAAGTCTGCACCGGCAAGTGCGCCCAAGCCAAAGCCCTCGCTTTTCGGCGGAGATGACAATGACGATGACGATGAAATGGACGATCTAGACGCCCTGCTCGCAGAGCAAGAAGCGCGCATGGAACCCGGCACAACACAGTCGAAGCCGAGCAGCATACAACAACCGTTGACGGCGCAGAATAAAGAGTCCACTGCTTTTAGAGCAGATGAAGAGGACATTGTGGTCCAGGAAGACGGCGAATTGGACGTGTTGATCGCCGTGCAAGAAGCACGTCGAGGAGTCACCAACGAAGCACCGGAACCATCCACGCCCACGGTTAGAGCAGCAATTCCTCGTCCCGCACTGGCTGGCGTCGAGGGTGCGGACGAAGCCGAGGGTGCGGACATGTTCTCCTTGTCGCCTGTGCGAGGTACGGCACCAATAGGTCCAAGCTCCTCTCAGGAACATGAGGAACAGGCGTCCATTGATTCGAATTCAAGCGTTCTTGCGCCGCGGATACAACAAGCTAGTGCATCCCAAAGCGAAAACGTACATGTTGACGACATCGAAATATCCAAAACCGGCACCGGCGCTGGAGCAGAGGGGAAGGACGAGTCCCAGGGTCTGGACGCTGGTGACATGTTTTCATCTTCGCCTGTGCAAAATGAATGATTGCACGATTAGTCTGCCCCTGTCTGATACCGATGCCGCCATGATGGATGTTTGGAACGGGTACTATTTGGTTTAAATGGGAAACCTCTCTTTGTCGTCGAGTAAGGTATTATACGGTGCGGAGAACAGAGAAAAGAACAGATGAGATTCGCTTTTCGTGTACTGATGATAAACGTAACGCATGATGGATGCCCCAATCCCGGGCCCCCAATCCCAGGCCCCAAGTCTTCGCCGGTAACTACTCCGTACACACCTTGATGACTGATTCGGTAAAAATTTCTTGATCTTCGACACCTCTCTCCCTCCAGTACTGCAATCGTGTAAGTGAAGTGGTACCAGAAATGCTGTCTGTGGTGGCTTGCGTATTTGATTTGATCTGATGACTTTTTGATGATGGATCAAAAGAAAGCACACCAGCCAATGTACATCCTACACAGGTTGCGGTAGTCGGTGGCCCTGGTGATCATCTCGTCGACATAGCCGCCCACACCCAGGGGCACCGACTCTCCTGGTAACATGCCCCTGACCTTGGCGCTGACGCCTTCGAGCACTTCGACAGGGGTACTCGGCACGCCGGGAACGACCTTCTTCTTGCTTCGACCGGCCGAGTTGATGAAGTCCGTGGTGGGATCGTGCAGGAAGGTTTCGAGGATGGTCATGAGGGCGTCCTCGTTGGATCGCAGGAGCGTCAGTGTGATTTCGCAACACTTCCTAAACGGCCCTTCGTAGCCGTACGCGCCCATGGCGTCAACCATGTTGTGCGTCAACCGGAACGGGACCAACTCGGGCTTTTCAAACGTCAGACCCTTGTCGAACAGACAATTGAAGTCCACGTGCAAAGTCCCACCATTGTCTTCTTCAAAGAGGATGTTCTCGCCGTGCCGGTCCCCGAGGCCCAAGACGTGGCCGACAATCGACATCACCGCCGCAGACCGTGTATACCTCAACCGCGCATTGAACCACGCGCTGGGATCGGGGAAACTCTCAACAAACCACTCGTGAAATACAGGTGGGAATTTCTTGAGGACCTTGGTCGTGAAAATTTTCGCCTTCTCGGGATCCCCCGAACAAGATTCATCCAACAAATTCCGAATCTCGACGTAATTGGGATGAATCGATTTATCCTTGTACAACCTGAGAATGATATCTCGGAAAGTCTTGAGGTTGTCCACCCACTCAATCAGGCCGCATTCTTCGTTCATGGGGATAACGGCATAGGTGCGTATATAGAGTCTTCGTTTTGCGGCGTCGACGTCTCGCTTGAGAAAGCGGTTGATCATGTTGTTGAATTCCATGAGGCGTTGGTCTTTACGGAGATCGTCCTTCGGTTTCGCGAGAACCGAATACATGTTGCCATCAGACCCACGGATAGTCAGTTTTCTGGGTCTCTGGAGAGAGGCTAAAACGAGAGCTTCGTCGACAAAGGAGCTGATGGTGATCGGTTCTTTGGCAAAAGGACGGAATGCTTTAAGCTGTGCTGGCTCGAAGCTTGTGGGCATGCTGGGAATGAGGCAAGCTTGGTTGGGGACGACCAGTTTTGAAGGGGCGATCTTGTGGTTGAATCCCATTTCTCTGCCCAGGCTGATTTTCGTAACTTTGCCTTTGATTTCGTGTTCAGAGACGCGAAGGAGTTCCTTGACGAACTTTTGACCACTGTTGAACATGCTCCTGAGCTCGGCAGCGGATGAGTCCTTGCTGGATTTTTTTGCGACCTCGACGATTTTACTGACAATACCTAAACCTTTTACCGCTCGCTCTTTCTGTTGCGATTCCACCACCGCCAACAAGGTCCACAATGCTTGCTGAGGGAACGCTCTCACTACCTTTACAACGATACTAGTGAGAATCTCACAGACGACTCTGTTGGGATGGCATATCCGAGCAACGACCTGCGGCAGAATAGTATAGAGCAAGACTGACTGTAAACGATCCGTATACTTCTTGATCTGATTATTCGTTTCCTCAATGATTCGTTTTCGTTGTGCCGCAACCTTTGAGTGAAACTCCGCGCTACCTCGTCGGTCATCTCTCGGAAGGTCCATTCCATCTACCAGCTCAAACCAGAGGGTCAGGACTTTCGGCAGGGTTTGGAAGACATATTTACTTCCATTGAAAAGCGATCGTAGGTAATTTTCGATAACATGTTTCGCGGTTTCCCCTGTCAGATATGTTTGACTCTCTTTGCCTGGAGGCATTGCTCTCTCCGAGTCAAGAACTTTATTGTAATAACGGCCAAGGTGATACCAGCCTTGTTCACCTTTGCTGAAGGTTTCTGTAGCTTTCCTAAATGTCTTCCTGATCACTTCCGATTGGGTTTGACCGGCTTGAGCCAGCCATTTCCCAAGTAGAACATGTGCCTTCGCCGTGACTTCGTTTTGAGAATGTCGCTGTTCCACCGTCATCGTCGTGGGGCCGTTTTCGGCTACAAAATCATGGGCCACGAACGCCCCAGACTCAATGGCCCCTTCAAGAGTTTGAATGGCCTTTCGGTGATGCCCTTCCAACCACATTAGTTTTGCCTGTTCGATTGCTGCAGACTTATCGCCTAATACAGAAGCCTTGAGAACAGCATTGAAAGCTTGAGTGGTCGAACGTGCTTTGCGGGCCAGTCGGGCGCTCGAGAGCCATGCGCTTGCAATATCGTTTGAGCCAAACATGTCTGGTCTGAGGGACATTACGGCGCGACGAACACCCAATAGATACTGTTTGTCGCTAACGTTCGATCCCAGCACATCGAGACGTCCTCGTAGGGTGTCCAGAACGACAGCGCGATCTTCCTTGGGGCTTGCCGCAATCAATTGCACATCACTGAGTACATGCAACCTCAGCAGCGTATCATGGCTGGCTTGAAATGAAGAGATGCCGTTGGGACTCAACTCGGAGGCGACGTTGCGATATATCTCGGTAAGAAGCTGAGACACTCTCTCCCGATCTTTGCTATTGACGGCCAGCATTACTTCTGCAATCTGAGACGTAAAATCGTGTCCACCCTCTGGAGGAATGTAGCTGGGTAGTAGGTCCCAGCGGCTTGTTGCCCATGCGGCCTCGAGAGCATAAGGGGCCAAGAGAGTCGTAGAACTGCTGCTGCGGCTCTTGATATCGTCGAAATGATGGAGGAGGGCGTCATACTGCCCGGATTCCTTGAGGCAAGCTATCAAGTTCTTCTGTGCATCACTATCGTCTGGAGAAGCGATAAGTTGCATCTCATACCAGCTTTGAGCAGCAGTCCATCGACCTGCCTTCTTGTGCTCCAAGACTTGCTGTTCAATGTCGAGCACATGCATGCGAGAAGAAATGCCCTCAATACCGTCAGGTTCATCAATCTGAGCATAAATGTCTTGCAGTCTTTGGAGCTCAGCTTCAACGTCGTCCTTCTTGCATTTGCGGATATGCTGTTCCCAATGAAACAACGCCCGCGAGTAGGATCTGCATTCCAAGGCTCGTCGAGCTAGCATGTCGGGTGGAATCTGTTCTAGCACCCGATCGATACTGCGTATTTGGTCCGCAGCTTTGACCAAAAGCAGATCATTAAGTCCACGATCTGACTTGGCCAGAGCCATGGCATACTGTTTGCGCTTCTGTTGTTGCCAGGTGGACATGTAGTCAAGGATTTCAAACACTGTCTGGCTGCATAACTTGATGTCATCCTGCACTCGTCGGTCATAGTCATCGAGCGACTGGCTGAGAATTGAATTGACCTCGGTTATGATATCTTGACTGTCCTGCTCAATGCCGCTCACAATGAGATTAACCACAGCATACGGCAGAAGGAAAGCTGGAATGGAAGCGTCTTGACCATGGATGATGCGGCAACATATGGAGAAGATAATTTCGACATTGTCTCCCGTACTTCTGTGAAGGAAGTCCAATGTAATAGTTCGAAGCCAGTCGCGGTGCTTCATACCTGGCGTAAAAAGAGGATAATGACTCTTTTCAGGGGCCCGAACTTCCTGCACCGTATACTTGGAGCTCATGAACGGCGTCAATACGTTCTGGGTAGATTCAGGTAGCTGATTCCACAAGCTTGTCGCTAGATTTCCGGCTTTGTCTGACGAGGTGCCCTGCCTGCAAGAGCTCAAGAACTGCTGCATCGCCCAACCAAGGAAGCCTTGAGCTCTAGTTGTGTTCGCAGACAGGAAGGCTTTGACCAGGACGTGCTGCAGGAAGAAGAAAATCCACTCAATGACCTCGTCTGCACTTACGAAATTTGCCAACACGACCATTGTCTTGCGATCTCTCAGGCTTTCGATCTTGCTAGCATCCATGCATCCTATACTGCCTAGGCATTGCCCGCACAGTCTTGAGACCTCATTGCTTGTGTTGAACTTCACGCAACAATCAAGCAATGCACGAGTCAAATCGGCAACAAACTCATCCGGTTGTTCCCTGAGGATAGATCGTTGGAGGAGATCCTGTTTCTGATACAAAAGTGGTGCTAACTCAACCAAAGCTTGTTCAACGACGGCGATGTTCTCATCTTGTAGTCTCCGGACGTAGGCAATGAGTTGATGACGCTCGTCCATCTGACCCTTCAGAGTCATGATTTCAGACTCGAACTTGCTCATAGCTGGGATCGAAGCTAGTGATGGCATTGTGCTAAATTGATCTCGCACGATGTCTGTGTGGTGTCTGAGCAGATCACCAACGAGGTCATATGCTAAACATTGGGATGGGCTGTCGAGTGCGTCCCAGGTTCGGACAATAATTGCCAGAGTCTGATCAATAAGAGGTTTCAAGTCGTCCCTTTTCAATGATTTAATCATGGCAGCCCAAGAGGTAAAGGCAGCATCACAGAGTTCGGGGACAGCCAACCCAGATCTGAGACAAGCACAAATCTGAGGAAGAGCTCGCACAATCCGGGTTCTGCCCAGCTTTACCACCTCACCAAGTGCAGCAAGGCATCGCCTTTTGTCTACCTTGGATTCCTTTGCCTCCAAATCATTCAAGAGGACAGTGAAGTGGGTGACGATTGCAAGAACATTATTCTCCAAAAAGGTTCCCATGCTATCACTGCGTCTCGTGTTGGCTGATTGTCCACGTTGGCGGGCTACTAAGTGCGCTAATAGCTGCAGAGCTTGATAAATCCGAGAAGATTTGCCTTGACCACTGTCTCCGATGGCTTTTAGAAGTTCGCAGGTGATGTGGATCGGGTCCAGAGCCACCCAATCCGCAAGATCAGTCTTACCAAAGTCTGCAGATACTTCTGACAAAATTGAGATGATGGATTGTTCCGCATCAGGAAATGGCTGAACAAGTAGGAACGACAGGATGGCGATGAGATTCTGTCTCTGTGTACACAGGTCGAAGAGAGTAGTTGATTGCCCATTGGCCTCGGCGAATTTCTTTATGACATCCTTTGCTTTGTGAAGGACCAGATATGGAAGAGCGAATTCGGCAGCGTGACCCATCAAACCTGTAATGTCCATACCCAGTAGGTCAGACAATTGAAGTGCAATATTGGATCGAGACATCAGAGACTTGGCGAAGACCACACCGAGTGTCCGCCAAAATGGCCGAAAGAGGAGCCACACTGAGATCTGCAGGGATTGGGCGAGATGCTGAATCTCAGCATATACCAAACCACTGAGATACGGATTCGTGTGGCCAAGGTACTCGACGAGTCGGACCAGGATGATATTTAGTTCTTCGTCCCCGACAACTTTAGCCACCTGTGTCAAAGCCATGACTGCAGTCTCCTGCAGGGAAGCATCTTCTTTCTGCCATAAACTGTCGAGATAGTCCAAAGCTGTGATTCTGTTTTCCCGCGTAAGAGATAAGTCGTGATGCTTTCTCCTCATCACGTATGCTTGCAAAGCTCTGCCTGCGACGATTCTGAGGTCTCTGGAGGAGCTCTTGAGAGACTGGAGGCACCAGTCGCCAGCGGGGGTTTGGCCAAGCTTCAAGTCCTCAGTTGAGTTTGTATGCATGATGATTCGACGAAGAGAAGACATAGCAATTATTCTTGCTCGAGAACGGCGGGATATGCTCTGAACAAGGGAAACCAAAGTCTTGAGAAGTTCTCGGCTCGAAGGGGGAGATTTATCGGGACCTAGACTTGTCGTTTCGAAATCCTCATCACACTTCGGACAATGGCGATCCAGAGAAGGCAAAGCAAGCTGGCACGCGGTCAGACCAATCAATTCAAGTGCGTTACATTGCTTCTCTTCCGACAAGCGTCTGAAGTTCTCAGACGATGTTTGATCCAGCCCATCAAGGTCGGGAACGGCGCAACCAGTCAACTCTGCTGTTAGTCTGCGGCAGATTTTCTGTTGCAAGTTATCATTTGACAGTCCATCCTCGACATCGGTGGACAGCCGCAATCTCTTCCGTGCTCGATCTGTATCAGGCCAAACTTCGTCCGGGCCTTTGGACAGCATTCCTGGCGGCGCAGGAGGTGTGATGCTCAAGACGCGAATTTCGTGACAGAGATTCTGGCAAATGGTAAGTAGTGGTAGGCCGATATGTGCCACGAATTTACCTCAGAGTGATCATTCCCTATTAAAAGGCTCTCATTTTCGTCGGCAAACCATCGGAATCGTGAGAAGACTTTGCGAAACTGAACTTTGCCCTGTGGCGAGTTAGACTGTCTGGAGACCACCTTCAAAACATGGGCCAAGCCGATGAGCAGGTGTTGCAAGGAGGGAAATTTGAGGCTCGGAACATTGATATCAAGGCCATATGTGATTTTGGAAATGATTGAGGCAAAGTCCTCCCCATCGATGACTATGGCCTTGGGCGGCTGAGCGCTTGGTAGCGACTCGACAACACCAAGGATGCCTAGTTCAGGTCAGTGTGGCCCTGACTAGAATTCAACAATGCTGACTGGCTGACCTGAGACGCAATTCCTCAAGAAATCAAGAACGATATCAGACGAGTATGTGGTTGTGCATTTTCTGTCAGCTTCCACCATAGAACTGAACAGCTCGAGAACAACATCCCTGACCACATTTGCCTGGGCGGAAGCAACCAACGGCAGAAGAGTCGGGATCAGCCAGGAGTATAGAGGACAGCCATTCCCACCCGTGGTCCTGCTTTGGGGATCTGACTTCACAAAGATGACCTGAGGTGATCTTTCGATTGCAACTTGAAGAACTTCGAGGCAAGTTTTGAATTGGGAGTCCGCCCTACCTGCCGCGGTTGCGGAGCGGAAAGGATCTTCTTCAAGGACGCGCTCGATGCCGATTTGAAAGACGATACAGATTAACTTGTGATTGATGGAGACATCGGCGCCCAGATTCGGTTGGCCTTGTTCATCGGAACCTAGTGCTTCGGCCAACAGCTGATTGAAGTTGTCTTGATCAAAATCAGACACTCCGTTTCCGTGTACAATATGGGTAGCCAGTATAGAGGATGGCGGGGGCTCGAAGCCATTCATTTGGCGGGCAGCAGGCACTAGGGCCATGAGCTCTCATACAAGCATGCCGGATTTGCTGGAAACGATCAAGGACGCGTCGATGAAGAGGAAAAAAGACGTGGTGACAGGAACGGGCATGTTACGCGTTAGACGATATGCATCACCGTGGAAACTGCCATTTGTGCGGACACCAACCCACTGTATTCCTTGGCACGGAGTTTCAGTAAATCCGGCGTTTCCGGAGAGTCATTGGCTGCCTCTCCGTCTTCGCGGTGATCTTTTTCTTCTATATTCAAAATATCTCTTCTATTTTCTCGTCTTCATCCAGCTCCTCGATCTTTGGAGCCCCGTCCTCATCTCGCATCAGCACCTGTACTAGGCGGTCACATGCTTCCCTCACGCCCTCGTCCGCGACGTGCATATGCGTCTCTCTAATCAAGGGATAAACCTGCACCTTCCTCAACTTGTCACGCCCTTCCTTCGTTGTGGTCAGCAGTAACAGAGTTTCGAGATGGGTTACAAGGATATCGTTGTCGCTATCTCTAGCCTTGTCTGGCGGCAGTAGTTGCAAATCTGGGAGCATATTGGCCGATTCTTCTTCTGAGAATTCTTCAGATCCAGCCAGCGGTAGCAGGATATACGGTAATATGTTGACGCCAGGGACCCCATCAAGGGTTTCGGTGTCTTCAGCCAGAAGTAAAGGATGTTTGTCAACTTCAAAAGCAACATTCTTGATTGTGCTGGCGACTCCCCTCCTCCGAACGTGGCTTTCGTGCTCCGTGAAGACTGTTAATTTGCTTATCGGCACAACGCCATCATAATCCCTCCTGCTCAGGAAATAGTCCCGACCAACTTTATGTTTTGACAAGTCAGCTAAAAAGTAAGCCAGATAGTCGAAGTTGGCGTGTTTGTTAAGGGTTCCGTCGGCCCCTTTTACAAAGCAGTCGAGCAGCTGGTCGAGGGCATATGGAGACGTGGATACTGCTTTGGCGGGCAAGGCTCGCTCAAGGTTGATCAGCTTTTCCATGTGGTCCGATTTCGCCAGATTTGAGAGAAGCATAGCAATTTCATCGGCGGTTTGCTCTTTCGGATTCTTCAAGATTCAGCGAGCTCTTCACGATACTGCGGGTATGAGGTCGAGGAGGTGGAGGTGGATTCCAACCTACATACTGTTATCTTCTTGAGCAGTGTTTCAACAAAAGCATCATCTGCTGCGAGGTTCTCGAAGATTTCAGTGTCATGACTGATGTTGATCAAAATCGTAAGAGCATTCTTGGCTATAGGCTGGAAACGGAAGCATAGGCCTGGGTCAGCACAGCGTACTTGATCTCATGTCCAGGATCGTACTCACAGGGTAGTCTCTAACGAGAAGTTTCAAGTCTTGGACTGGGACAAGTTGAGGTTTCTTGAAGACTGCCGGATCTGAGGAGTGGCCGACAAGATGGTCGCAGGCTGATTGAGGAGGACTCGGTCAATGCCAGCGTCCACACAGCCATTTCCGCGTATAGAAGAGCCCCGGAAACTTCAAGTAAGGGTTTGGAACGAACAGGTTGTGCTTACCAAGTTGACGGATTTGAGTATTTCCATGATGTAGAAACTCAAGCAACTGGGACAATTCAGCCATGACCGCTACGGCATTTGCTGGGACTGGCTCACCTCTTCCAACTCGGTGGGCATGACGCGCGTCTTTCATGAGAGGCCTAAATTAGTGGAAATAGGGGGATTTGACACCTCGTTGCGAGACATTGTCGAGGGGAATTTTTGATAGAGCCCGAAACAGGCCTAGTTTTCAAATGACACAAATGACGCGGGGATTTCTGTCTGGGCAACACCAACCACCTCCACCACCATCAGCACCTTGCAAATTCTTCCTCTCTTGTCAACGCTCGACGCCCACCAAGCCACTTTCGCCCCTCAGGCTGGTGCTGGCGAGACCCCTCACCTCGACAGCACAACAGAGTTCAGCTCCCAGCGAACCATCAATCATCAATGTGAACCACCTCGCCTCCCGGACCACTTAGCACATGGCGCGTCCTGCATGAATTGTACAAAGACGCATATGCAAGCGCCCGATGTCTTTGGGCCGTTAGTAGCCTTTCGTCACCCTCTTCCCTTCCCTTGTCGCAAAATCATTCCCATCGAGTTTCTTCGATCATGTTTGGGGCGGGAAATGCAAAATTAACTCGCCAAACAGGCGACCACGACATTGACTCCGCGTGACCCTCACATCAATCCAATTCAAAAAGGTAGCCCTTTCTTCCTCAGGCTGACATTCTTTTTTCCATGTCCTTTCTGCCATCACGGTTCTGCGCGAGCCTCGCTTCCTAAAGCAAGACATTCACGCCGATTCGCGCCTAGCTCCTAGCATTCTGATTCGGGCTTGCGATTGTCACCAGCGCGCTTTAGCTCTGGAGTGGAGAGTCTTTCCTTCCACGATAGGATCTGTGTTGCCATCTTATATTTTATGTATCTGAATACTTGATCAAACCCAAGGCTACGAATACCTTCAAACTTTCTCATTTGCAGATGCAGAAGCCATGGCCGCCACTGTTCTGGATCCCGACTTGTTGCCACCTCCACCAGGGCCGACAACGATCCGACAAGCTATCGAGGACCTACAAGTAACCCTCAATCAAATCCGCCGCAAACTTCGCACCTTGATCGACTGGTACATTACTCCGGATGTTGTGCCAAACTCGATCCAAGCCTACGACCCACGACTTCAAATCTTACAATTGCGACTGAAATCCCTCTCGACCATCGACTTCCAGCGCCTCCCCTACTTGATCGACGGTTCCGACGATCTGGCCTCACAATATCTGAACCAAATTGTGGAGCAGCTACTATCTTCCGTACGCGGAATCCAGAAGATTTTCGTGGAACACTACGATCGGGACCTCCAGGAGCGTCGCCCTTTCGGCACCATCTGGGATACTCTGATCTATAGACAGGACCAGATCAAGCAACTGCCTGTCATATGTCCTAGCATCCCGCGGCGCGCTGCTCCAGAAGATCTGCGGCCGGCGGAATTGGGCAATTTCTGTCCTGGGGCTCTAGGGATCAGTAACCACCGCGACAGAGGCCGAATCTCGTTCGTGGAGACGAAAGAGCTCAACGATGAAAATAGGCGCAAGCTAAAGGCCTTTGGGGGCGCATTTTTAAACTGGCAATGCTCCGAGTGTGCGTGCAAAGTGCGCTACCACGTCGCCGCCAGCACGACATCCAACATCCACAACACAGACGAGGTCCGCGACCATCCCGGTCTGGACATCCAATACCGCAGCTCCTTCCTGGCCAAGTGCCACCTCTATCTCCCGCCATCGGGGAAGACATCCAGCTCGACTAGCACTGCTTTGTCGACCAACACCCGTCGCGACAGCTACGGCTTGGTCAAGTACGGCTGTGTGTTCTGCTTTGCCACTGGCCACGAGCTTGAGCGTGGGTTGACCGCCTTCGCCACGGTGCGTGAGTTCGCGGAGCACATCGCCTGCGAGCATAAGAAGCCACTGCCGCCAAGTTTGCTGATTCATCGCTTCGCTGTTGCTGTTGAGGGGAAAACCGTCATTGGGGATCGCTGGGACTTGAACTTTTTGTAATGCGAGATGATTCTATTATGCTTTACCAAAGAAATCGAAATAGGGTATATTCCCTCTTCCTTTTGGGATACGGTTTGCATGCAACTGGTATTATGACTGAACGATTTACGGCGCAAGGGATTACAATGGATGATGCTGATGCTGATGTTGCAAGTGACGCATCAGCTCGAAGAGAGAGAATGCCAGCTCTGTAATGATGTGCACAGCCATGTAATTCTATGTCTAGGCTACTTCAAGCTTTACACGGGTGCTTTCTTTCCGCTCTATTTCTCTTCCTTTGTTTCGTTCCCCTACGTCGTCTGGGAAAGGAAACGGAATTAGAGCGAAGCCATCAGGATCCTGCGCTGCCCTGCGCTATCCTGCCCGCCCCCGACCCAGCGATGCCTGACTGACACTCTCCACAGAAAAAGAAAAGGACACAGCCCAAGAGATCAAAGTCAGAAAAGTTCATAAAAACCCACCCTTTCCCTCTTGCTTGGCTAGAACCCATGGATCCATCCCTTGATTCCACCGCCTAAACCGCGCGATCTTCCCAGAACCGTCCGTCGCCTTGCTTGGGTATGCATGTATGGAATATACAAATGCACAGTCCCCTGCACACATATATATGCGAATGTGTATGGATATATGCAAACCGTCATGGCATGGTATGTAGATAAATAACAACCCCGCCCGCTTTGAGATAGTCATAAGTCGAGCACTCCGGGAAAAAAAAAGGAAATAAGACAAAGGAAGAAATATATATCCACAAGAATCGAAACCCAACACATCTTTTATGATCCTGTTCGTGGAGAAGCATAAATAGACAGATAAGAAAGGAAAACCACAAATCACACGCTTTCCACGATCAAGCCAACACTAACGCCAGGCCGATGGCCCCTCTCAGCCTGCACGACGACGGGACTGTAGCTCTTCTTCTCGAGGATCTCCCACTTGCGCGCCTCCTTGATGAGCTGCTTCTCCGACTCTCTGCTCCAGAGGAACTTCCCAAACGTTCCTCCAGACGGCTGCGTCTTGGTGACTTTGAGGGTATTGGTGATCGTGGATGTGGTGTTCTTGTTGCCTCCTCCTCCGATGAGGTCCTTGGAGGCGCGGCGTGTGGACGATGCGGTGCGTTTGTGCCTGTGGCCGCTCCCGCTGCCGCCTAGGAACGAGTGTTGTGATTTGTTTGATTTCTGCGACGTGCTTGACGGGTTGCGCACGTGTCGCTGTGGTTGAGGGGCGACCTGGAGACGGGATTGTGATAATGAGGCTTGTGCCTGGGGTTTTGCTTGCGCCTGCGTCTGTGCCTGCGCTTGAGCTTGAGCTTCGGCGCGGCGGGCAGCGAGTTTTGGTCCAGGGACGAGGATGCGAGCGGACTGCTTGCGGGACAGCGAGACGGTGCGCGCCACCGCGACCTCGGCGGTTACCGGATTCGAGGCTACCGGGTTGGGTTGTCGAGGCGGAATGGCCTTTTCCAGGCCGCGCAGAGAAGCCTTGTGGACTACATCGCGAGCGTGAGCACGAGGCTGGAGCGACGACGGCAGCGTCGCGGATCGTTCTTTGGATACTCGCGGCGACGCTCCCGAGCGTAGGGCCAGGTCTTCTGTATTGGCGCGCACCGGTCTGGTAGGCGTCACGCCAGACCGTTGCTCGATGGCCGTCACGGTGCTCTTCGCGGCGTATTTGGACAGAGGGATGAACTTTGCGTCCTTTTTCGGGACCGGAGGCGGCTTGTCGTCCTCCGCTGGTGACGATATCTGCTTCGCGGTCCTCTTCGGACTAGGGGGGCCTTGAGGAATTGTGGGTGAATCGTCAATAGGACGATCGACGCGCTTGATCGCGGCCACGCGAGGAGTTACGCCTCTGGCAGCCGCCGTCTGTGGTGGTTGCTGCACCGGCGACGAAGTCGCAGAAGCTTTCACGGGCGACGTATTCGGTCGGGGAGAGTCGTCTTCTTTCACTTCGACCACCGGAGAAGGAATCAGGCGGCCGACTTCTTCGTGCGTCTTGCTAGTGGCCAACCGTGCATGGTGATCGGACGGGCGTGAATGTTGAACGGTCACGATAGGAGTCGGCTGATGCGGTTTTTCATCATGATTCGCTATCATAACAGTTGGAATGCTGGGAACCTTCTCGATGGCAGAATCAGCATTGCCGGTTGGTGTGGTGAGTCTCTCCACTGCAGCGATTGCTTCGTCGAAGTAGGCAGTGTTGATCGAAGTGTGCTTCGTTGTCCATGCAGACGGGGCGCCGCTAGATGCTGCCTGCGGCTCCGGTGGGATCGGCGTGGTTCGCTCAGGGGCCTCATCTGCTGCCGCTGCTGAGGCTTCCACATGCCGCAGGTGGCTGGGCGCAGGGACTCGTTTGGACCGCGTTCGAGCCAGTTCTACCTGGGCCGAGTCGGGTCTGGTCATGACGAACTGGCCATCCTCAACGCCTTTGGAGTCCCGAAATGACTTGATATCAAAGAAGATTTCGTCAACAGTGGTTGCAGAAGATACTGATGACTGGAACGAGTGAGCAGAGCTCCAAGGCGCGCTGCGATCCGTCGACGCTGTATTATCCTCCGGACTGTGAATCGCCTGCTCGTTCAAAGCGATCTTGTTCGGATTGAGAGGTTCCGGCCTTGGTACGGAGGAGAAATGGTCTTGCATAGGAGACAGGCGGGCCGGGGACGTAGCTGACCTTCGTAGTTGACCCGCTGGCAGATGGTCACGATCCGAGCTGGGCACTCGGCCATGGATCTTCACTGGCGCAGGAGAAGTGGTTGGGAACAATGAGTATTTGCTTGCTGCCGGTGATCTCGTCATGGTCGGTGTCGTCAATCGTCTCGGTGGCATTAGGGGCGTGAGAGGCTCCGAGTCAGGATTTGGATGGTCGTCATGCTCGCCGTTGGTGGTAGTCCCTTTCGTCGTAGGCCGACTGTCATCGAACGATTTAAGACTGTCCAGAGCCTTGCTCCGTCTGGCGAGAAGTGAGGAAGATCGTTTAGCAGCAGGAAGATTAAATGAGATGTCTAGTTCTAGTTTTGGTAAAGGCGGACGTGTGTACGGCTCCCCCGCGGACTCAGCATTCATCGTGGTCGCAGTCGAAGGTCTCGATATCGTGTCGTCTTCAGGCTTTTGAATAACCAAGTCCGCGGTCTTCAGAGCCGAAGACTTCTGATCCTTTTCGATGGGTGCTGGCGGTGCTTGACGTCTGGGGTGGTCCGATTGTGTCGGTCGCAGTTTATCTCCTTCGACTATGGGCGTCTCGGTAGCCGGATCTTTGTCCAGAACCACGAAGCCGGTTGGGAGGCCAATAGTCGGTCCTGACGGAACCTCGTCTCGTCTAACAGCAGCTTGTCGGGATTTGAACAGAGTCCCTAACTTCCTCCATCTCTTAGAGTGCATCTGAGCAGTGTGGTCTGGGATCTCCGGGTGCTGTCGGAGAATCGTGTTGTGCTCGATCGTGCTGGGTTCCTCCGGAGGAGCGCAGAAAAAAGCTGGAGGATGGCTCGGACTGCCAAACGCCAAACCTATCAAGCTGTCCTCCGATCTCGATACACCGTTCACGTTCTGGAGAGGTGAGGGCTTGTGATTCTCCGAAGTCCGTGGTCGGATTGCTGGAACCTCAACACGCAGTTTCCTCTTCCCAGTTGGGCTACCGGAGGTCGTTGGACGAATCTGAACCAGCCTGGGCCCGACGATCCTGCCTGAAGCACTCTGGCCAGCTGAAGGCGATTCCCCAAAGGCAAAATCAAATTCCTGCTGCTTCGCAGTCGGTTCAGCAGTCGGCTCGTTGTGAAGAAGAGGATTCCGTTTGCGAATGGACAACCACCTCGTCGGCATGTTCAAAGTTCCGGACCAGCCAGCAGGGAAAAGGAAACCGATTAAAACAGGGACAAATGAGTGACAGGAAAAAGAGTGCTGATAAGCGGGTGACCTTGCAACTCGGCTCAGCAAAGTTTGGGGACCGATGGCACCATGAAACAGTTACAAGGTGAGCATTGCGACACGGCCGGGTGTCTTTCTCGCCTGCAACTCTGGGTTCACCAAGGATGTCGAAGTTATGTCAATGCTGGGGGCGGTAGTGGGATGTTAGAAGAGCCAGAAACAAAATCCGACGCACGAACTGCAACAAAAAAATATCAACAGCCAACCATCATACCACTATTCACCCGAGCGAGAAGAGAAGGACTAGAGCAATGGCGAAAAAGCCCGTCCCCCCGACACGAAGGCTGCAGGAGGGGACAACATAATAGACTGGGATGCAGCATGACTTGCATGGATGAGGTGGTATGCAAGTCCCGCGATCTTTGGTGGCCGTCAACACGGCCATGTTCGATAGCCGAATCAGCATTGTTTCTTTCAGCCATGCGCACCCGGAGGGGGGGCAGTGGCATTGTTGAAAGGCGGTACCAGCAGGGGAAGCGTCTCCCAGGCTTGAGACCAATCTTCGAACAACCTCCGTTGCAGGACTGATGAGGGATGGAAACGCAGCGGAGAGGGCACCAAGGATGCGAGGGAAAGATGGAGAGCGGAGGTTCGAGGGAGCCACTCACAAACGGGCGCCGTTTGGGCCCATTTAGTCCCATCAGCCTGGCGTGCTTCAGATTGTCCCTAGTCTCTCGCGTGGCGTCCTGTCGCATGTCAGAGCAGGGTCCAGAAATCTTCCGAGAAGCTGGAGGCTCTGAAGGGGAAGGAAAAGGCTTTCTATTTTCCGCACAAGATGGAAAATGCCCTTAAGGCAGATTCTACCGGTGGAATAGAATGATTCTGCTTCTGCCTTAAAGACTTGAGCATCGCAGCCTGTTCAAGGCCAACCACGCCTTGCTTGTGAGACGAACGGCTTGCCGCCGGACTGTTTGGCTTGCATCTTCGCCCAAGCTCGTGTTCGGTCCTGTAATCTCGTCACCCACGGGGCTTTCTTGCGCTCGGATTTCTCGGTTGCCCCTGAAACAAATCGGCCTCAAGCCTGCGCAAAAGACAAGGCGCCACCACATGCTTTGTCCGAAGTTCTTCCAGGTTTGCTGAGATTGACTCCAATGTCGTAATCCACCTTCTGGACTGTGACTGGCCTCTTATTTCGGGATGATTGGGGAGCGTCACTGATCACTGACGCCGAAAGATCGCCCGCCCGTGGCAAAGACGTCAGCAAGCAGGCGTCGCTGTTCTTGCTCGCCAGATCTTCTTTTCGGGGCTCTTCAGGCCATGGCGCTGCTGCGTCTCTCTATTGGCGCGCTTCGCAAGATTCGATGGCGGGTTGATCACCTGGGTGTTCGTGGCCGTGGATGAAAATCATCAAAACAATCTTGAAATTGTCCTCTTTCGTCTGGGCGGCTGATCTTTCTTGTTTTTCTTGAGCTGACTCACTCACTGCATTGTGTGCCGCCTTGTGGTGCGTGGTGCCCAAGTGGTTCTCGCAATACCATTGAATTGTCCGATTCGAAGCCATGATCTCGCTTGTTGAACACATTATTGAAAAACAGGGTTCAAGGCTATCACCCTGACCAGGAGTCTTGATTCATTAGAAGAATCAAATGCCATATTTGTAGTCGCGCTCCTGCCCTGAGCACCTTGTATATAGGGCCTTCCATATGCCGGAATGGGATGTGAGGCAGGGAGATACCTTCACCTCAAGTCGAATGACAGGGCTTTGTCATGTCACAGACCAAACCGCTGAGAAGGGCTCTGGTCTTGGGGGCTCTGCTGGTGGACGGGTCACAAATCGTGCATGCATCCGCACAATGAACAGGTAAGCACACGGTGCTATCTCCCGCACACAAGCCAGGGCCGTGACAGAATAAAAGACAACGCTATGCCGCTCTACTCTGCATGTCTGCCACGCCGTGTCATCTTCATCTCCAGCCCAGAACGGATCTGGCGGGACTAAAGTGGATGGATGATCTACTAGAGTCTCTTTGATTTTATTGAATGCAATATGAACACAAGGCTCTGTCCCGGTCCAGGTCAGCAAGGCGATTGGCACACTGCGAAGAGAGCCCTATGTAGTAGCCTAGTGAGTGGAAATGAAATGGAATCAACAAGATGAAAGCAGACTGACCCCCCCCCGTGAGCTGGGGGAGTAACATCAGATCAAAAGATTTCGATCATATAAAGGCCAGGAAGATACATATATCGTACGGTAGCTCTCTCTGCAGGGGCAGAGTAGGGGAGACTGCATGCAGCCCACTCAGTAGATGGTTATCTTCTGCGCCATCCCGTTCGCCAACGACAGCGCCGTAGTCTCCGCCGCCGAGTAGCTTGTACCACTCGCACCTCCTCCGCTGGTGCCATGGGCATGCTGCTCTGCAGTTTCGTTACCCTCGTCACCATAGCCACCTCTTTGAGAGGGCAAAAGCCATACCGCCCCGATCCTGACGAACTCCCATGGCTCCCTGGCCTTGAGAACTAGGCCGTTCTCACTGTCGAGCAGGAGGGCGAAGCTTGGGAAGTCCGGCTTGTCGTCGAAGGTTGCCATGCCGCGGCCCTGCAGAGCTGCTTTCGTGGTTTCGCCATGGACGAGGAAGTCGACTTCGGTCGTGAAGGGGTGGCGCACGTGATGTTTTGCATCTGATTTGGCCGGTCGGAGGAGGTATAGCGGGGCCTATAGGTATGTATGGATCTTTGTTAGTGATCGTCGTCAGATGGACTAGGATGAGTGGGTGGATGGGCGGATGGTGAGACAAAGGAACAAGAAACAGAGAAAAGAATAGTGGAGAGACTTGACCTCGAGCGTAATCCATCCATTCTTGACCCTGCCATACCGGTCTCTGCCCGCGATATCGACATGCGCACAAACACAACGAGCCCTCAAGTTCTTAGGGTCCAGTGGAAAGAACTTGACTTTCCCATCTAGACTCGCCCAGGACCACGAAGGTGCGCGGTACATTGCCGGATACCTCACTTCTGACTTTATCGCGGGAGGCATTGCCGCGTCATGCGCGGGGTCATCGCAGTGATGACTCGGCTCGAATGTTTCTATGGACCAGGACAGGTTTTGCAGGAGATCGTTTCGCCAGAGGCCCGCGAGATAGTCGTCTCCTGTTTGGCCGGCTACGGAGCTCGCAACACCGGAGAGCGCAGGCAGCTTGTCTTGGTCTCGTGTCAGGTTCCGAGAGGTGTACTCTTCGATGAGTCTTAGCCAGACGTTAGGCCAGGAGCGTGTGCTCTTGTCCTCAGAATCGGTTGCGGAATCAGAACCATCGGCAGCGGAAGATGAGGCGGGTCTTCTTGACTCGATGACCGTTGATATCGTTGGAAACTCTCTTTGCAAAAGTGCCCCGTCCTCGGCAAGCAAATATTGCTGGCATTCCCAGTAGAGCTCCTGCGTTCCGAAATGCAATGTACGCGGAGATAGCAGTCGCTCTTGAAGAGTCCAACCACGCTTGTTCAGCGGTTCGTGCTCAAATGGCTGGACTGCGGCGCCAAATTTTCCAACGACGTATATCTTTGGGTTCTGTTTCAAGGACGACGGCATCCATTCCGGCGTGATGTACGCTCGAGACTGTCGGTCACCCCGCATACCGAACATGTTATTGAATGTCCTGCAAGTAACCCCATCGCCTTCGTAGGATACGACCAGAGGTGCCGCGAGCGGTTTACAGCGTCGCCCAGTGGATAAGGTGTCGTTTGAGATGAACGGTCTGAAACGTGACACTTCAATTGGTTTCGATGCTTCGCGGTAGCAGCCGGAAGAGTCATCCGCCGAGCTCATGGCGGAGAGTGTCAGATATGAAGCCAAGTAGACAATGCCCATCCTGGAAGCCTCCATCTCCCAATCAAGCTGGTATGTCATTAGTGAGGAAAAGCCGGGTCTAAAGTTGGATTCCGAATGGGAATGTAGGAAACGATAAGCAAGGAACCACAGCCCGCAAGGCATGGCGAGGATGAGGGCCTAACAGCATTCTAACAGACCACTGAGAAGACTTACATCGTCATCCTGTATGATGCACAGCGAATCAATCCATAGGAAAGGGACCTCAAGCTCTCGAGTAATGGTCACAGCCTGTTGAAAAGTTGCCGGTAGTTCATTAAGCTGGATACCCTCGCAGTGCTTTGCGTATGTCTCCTTCGTTGTGGTAACTCGGTGCGAAAGGCCCCAGCAATGACTCAGGGCTACGTAGTGTCCCTGCCGTCCATTGGTTTCAACGAGACGAACAATACCCCCTTTGCCGTTGACGTCGAGGACCCGAGTCGGTAGTGATGGAGACATGGTGTTGATCGCACACGAATGACCTCGATCGCAACTATGGCCTTCATCACAATCTTTCAACCATTTCTTTATTCTTTGGACTGCTATGGAAGAGCCTTGATGGTTTGTGCGAAGGCGGCCCGGAACTATTTCTGCTAGGTCAGAATCTCGGGTAGGAGGTTAGCATAGTATTGGCCATTTGAAAGGAGAAGCATTATACCGTCGTCTGTGCGAACCCTTAGAAATGTGCCTCTAAGGCGAACCTCCTCGTCGGTATTGCTTTCTGCTGCTTCTGCACTGGGTCCCATGCCGAGCCTTACGCCCAAACCGATCAACTGAAGCGGTTTGCCCTTGAAGGGCGATTTGTACCAGCTGCCAAATATATATGGTCGAATTTTCCCACTGGTCTCCTCGGTGGCCGGAAAGCAAGAACGCGGACCCATGAAAACGGGTTCGCGCAGGTCAGGTTCTGGACTGGAAGTATCGAGAAATACTGCTCCATTCTCCATGGCGCGCAACAACCCGATGGGGCTATAGTTGCTCCCCGTCTCTTGGGTCATAATCTTGCGGCCTGAGGGGTATTCCACGCCAGATCTAAAGGCTACCATTCCGCCGACGTTCACCAAGGAGCAACCGGCCGCCCACCAGATGAGACGGCATATTGAACACGACTCTTTAGAGGCCTCTAGGGCGTCAAGACTGGGTTGATGCGGTAGAGCATTTTGCTCTTCTGATGGCAGATTTCCAAATGGGATCGCCTCGCAAATGTTACAAAGCATCATGGAGTGCTGTAGCTAGAATTTGAGACCAAGTTCGCCACTTGCCTACCTTGGAGTTGTAGTGGCCTTCTACCACCACGAGATCGCGGAGAGAGAGAAGCTCAAGCCATTCATAGGTCTGAAGTCGTCGAGTAGTGTCCCATGATCGCTTTTCAGCTCCTCGGACTCTTTGTGTTCTAGACCATTAATACGAGGCATGCATGGACAAATCGAAATCCACAATTCGTAAAACAAAGTTTCTTTGAAAAACGACATTTTAAGCTATTGCAGTCGAATGATAAATTTCAAGGGGCCTGGCAGATAGGAAGTCGAGCCGGCAGACCCTCTTCGTGGAGTGAGTGACAATAACCATTCAACACGAGGAGAGGGAAAGGAATGAATAACACGAAGTACTCGAGACTTGGAGAAGAGAACCTTGGGAACAATGCTGCCGCGATCGGAAAAATGTTGCACCGAGAAAAGGAGCCGTCCTCATCTTCGGCATCCGAAGGATTCTTCTCCGCACCGGCCGGAGAAACACCGCCCCTGTTGCAGCCTCGTGCGGGGAAAAACTATCAACACCCACCGAGTCTGGAGTAAGGAGCAGATCCACCAGATGCAAACATGTTCCCTTACTCCCTCCTTTGCTCTGTGACAATGAGCACTTGTCACCTGGTGTCAAAAAGGGCCGGCACATTCTGACGCTGAGAACCAAGACTTACAGATAGAGTGAGCGCCGTCTTCATTAACACAGCAGGATCATCAGATATCTCAGAGCACAACGGCAAGATGGGGGGACTTCAGCATGATTTTTCGAGGCTGATCTGCCGGTCAAGCATCGTTTCAAGGGCCCAATGGGGCACGAGCAGCTATTTTACCAGACGGTATTCGGCCAAGACTGAGCCAACGAGAAAAGGTCAGATACCGCTCTCTCAATGGAATGCCTGGCCGAGTTCGATATCACGCAGAGGTGCTGCATCTCACCGCTATATGGGCACGCTCAATGTCCCGAATTCAGAAGCATTTCAATTCAACGCACCCTCTAGCCGACCTCTCTCCGACATAACAATCGTCGCTCTCGAACAGGTCATCTCCATGCCTCTCGCAACCCGCCATCTCTCCGACCTCGGCGCCCGGGTCATCAAGATCGAGCGTCCCGGGACGGGAGACTTTGTACGGCACCACGACAAGCGCGTGCGCGGGAAACTCTGCAGCCACTTCGTGTGGACGAATCGCAACAAGGAGTCTCTTGCGTTGGATATCAAGCAACCTCGCGACATGGAGGTGCTCCGCAAGCTAGTATGCGAGAAGGCCGACGTGTTTGTTCAAAACTTGAGGCCAGGCGACGCCGAAAAGATGGGCTTAGGGTACGAAGATATGAAAGCTATGATGAATGCAGCATACCCCGGAGAAGGGAGGGGTGATAGAATGATATATGCATCGATCAGTGGCTACGGAGCCAACGGCCCATACGAGCATAAGAAGGCGTATGATCTCCTCGTACAAGCGGAGGCCGGGTTATTAAGCATCACTGGCACAAAAGACGAGATGGCAAAGGTGGGATGCTCAATAGCGGACATCGCGGCGGGCATCTATGCATACAGCAGCATTTTGGGGGCGATCATTCAAAGACAGAAGACCGGGAGAGGGTGTGTGATTGATGTCTCCATGTTAGAAGCCCTGGTCGAGTGGATGGGGTTTCCTCTGTACTACGCATTTGAAGGCCAAACGGCGCCGAAACGGGCCGGGGCAGCGCATGCAAGCATTTATCCTTACGGCCCGTTTTCGACCGGCGTTGCGCCTGACGGGAGTTTGGGTGCACAGGTCATGCTCGGCGTGCAAAATGAGCGGGAATGGAAGATCCTGGCCGCCGAAGTCCTCGAGCGCGAGGACCTGACCACAAACCCCAAGTTCAAGGACACGGCATCGCGGAGCGATAACCGGGCCGAACTCGAATCCATCATCAGCGGCATCTTCGCTTCGTGGGGAGGCGGAGCCGAAGAGGTCGTCCGGCGTCTTGACAAGGCCGGCATTGCGAATGCAAAAGTAAATGACATGCAGGGGGTGTGGGAGCATGAACAGCTCACGGCGCGAAGGCGATTCAGGGAGGTCGACAGTGAAGTCGGGCCGATCAGGGCCTTCTTGCCGCCTGGGATGAGCTCCGATCTGGATGCACGGATGGAGAGAATCCCGGCGGTGGGCGAGCACAACGAAAAGATCCTGAGCGAGTTGGAGTCTTCCAAGGCGAAGATATAGAAGGGTGAAAGAACCTTCTAGCTCCCACATGATATCAGACCTGGCAACGCAAGGCTTTATGCACTATTACCACCCGGAAAGGTCAAAACATAGAGATAGAAGCATTTATCAAGAAAGTAGACTGCAATCTATTTTTACAGGATGAGACGCTCATTCTGGCACCAAAGTAAATACTACACTATATGCGTACGAAGGAGTACATCGCAGGATGACAACGAGGCTGGCTACTGTGTCGAATACAACGGACGATATATAGATAGAGATACCTTAGTATTGATGGTCAGTCTGATTGTGGTTAGGCCCTCGGGCTTCTAGGTATTATATACTTACTTAGGTACCTAGAGAGGTATACAACGGAGCTACATTGAACACCGCTTGCGCCAATGTGATTACGGAGGATCCGTACCTACCAACAATGTATAGAGCCTCCTCGCCCTCGTACAAATAATATACCTGGGGACATATACTCGCCCTGTCCCTGCTCTTAACGAGAAGAACAAGTAATGAGTAGTTCCATGTTCAAAAGGATTCAAAGGTCGCCGCCACTTCGATGAGATACGGGGCCAGGGCTACCGAGCTGGCGTCCTGTGTTGGATACATAGACAGGGGCTTTGGCCTAGCGGACTTCGCAGGGTCGGAGAACAGTTGTATGAACATGAATGTGGAGGAGTGTTGTTAATGTTCTCTCTCTGTCTGTTTCCCCCCTCCCTCTTCAGTGCTCCGGTCCCGAGGGAGATAAAGTAAGCCATATCACTCGTCCATTTGCCATTGAAACCGCAATTCCTCTTCTCTCCCCCTCTTCGAGCGTGCCTGGAACCATTCTTTCTCAAAGCCATTGCTTCGGTCGACCCCATCCCACCGCCACCCAGGAAGGATTCCGTACCGATTTGGGGCGGCCGGGGGACCTGTGTATACCTTCTTCCTCACTCCCGCCTTTCCACCTCTATCTCCTTTAGATTTTCTTGTGGATAGTGTACCATCGGCTTCCTCCGCTTTCTGCTGCGCTAGGTACCCAGCCATAGGATCGTCCCACCTTACTTTCGCACGTAGCTCCTCATTCATTGCCTCATCATCCACGCCTCTGGCCAGACTCAAGAACTTCGCTTCTTGCAATTCTTTCTTACGTTCTTCCCGCTCGCGTCGCTGCACGTCACCCATCGCTTCTTCCTTTGCCTTCCTTTCCGCGCGGACCTTTTCCTCTGCGGCGGCCCGGGCTTCGGCTCGTTTTAGGCTAATGTCGATGCGCCGGCCAGTGGCGTCACGGTAGATGGTTTCCTCCTCCTCAACGCGCCGATCCTTGTGTTTCTTTGACTTGGATCTTGGATTTAGGGATTCAAGATCTCTTTGCTTCTCACGCTCTTCCTTCGCGACCAGGGCCGCAGTGTCTGCAGCAGTCTGGAGACCCGCGCGAACACCAGATTGCATGCGGGGTCCGCCATCTTCTTCGACGATCATGGGAGCGTCTTCATCCTCGATCTCCTGGCGGCGTAGACGAGACTCTTCTGCTGCTTGAGCGAGGATGCGATCCGCTTCATTATCTTCATCTTTGTTGTCCAGACTCTGGCCAGTTGTCGAGGCTGGAGTTGCAATAACCTTCCAAGCCCCTCCGCCTTTCTTTTTTCTAAATTCTGCTGATTTTATGCTTGTTTCGAATGTCGGTATATCATCCGCATATTCTTCCCCTCGCCTTCCTCGTGAAGCGGTGCTTCGAAGTGAAACGTCTTCATCGTCATCGGCAATCACCAGTCCACTTCCAGCGGAATCGTCCTTGTTCTTCCGCCGCTTTTTCTTTGGGCGAGTCGAATCTAGGAAGTCTGATGAGACTGTGTCGGACTGAGGAGCGGACTGGGAGGTGGTCGCGGTCAGGTATTTCTTTGCTAGGTATGCTGCAAGATTTGCGCCGGGCATTATAATCCGTGATGTGCAGCGCGGTAGTCTTCTAGTTTGTGCTCGGCAAGGTACGGTCGAGGGGGATGGGTAGGCGTTCTTCAACTACGGCTTGCAAAAGTGGTCGGAGATTGTTTTCGCCCCCATGTTTGTGACATTTGTCAAGTTTGCACCATTTGCAGGTTTGAAAAGACGTCATTATTGTCGACGCCGAACGCGTCACATGCTACGAACACGTACCTAGAGGGGCACTAATCGAGGCTCCATGGCTGTTACGATAAGGATGGGGTCTGCATGCTTAATGATATGTATTGCTTAGTCCTTCCTTGACCTCCTGCGCCTTCTGTGCTCTGATAAACAACGCCAATAGGAATCTAGGAGGTAATCCTCCTCTCCAAGGTCATTCATATCCTCAAGAAGCGCCGTGTAGTACCCGTGATGATTGATGTATTGATACAGCCTCGCTTCCCTAATGAGCCCTTGGGGTATCTTTGATGAATTGAAAACATACAAACAGTAGCAACTCGGTTGTTCTGTTAAAATCATTACAAGAATGTGAGATACAGCCGACAACGCCGAGTCCGGGTCTGTCACAATCTCACCGAGAGTTGTGCATTCACTTCAAGTGAGAGTAGTCGACGAGTTCAAAATCGTCATCATCATCTTCGGTCGAGGCCTCGGCCATTTCCTTGTCGTCAACGACGTTGTATTCTCTGTCGACAAGCTTCTCGGTCTCGTTGTTCTCGAATCGTCGGACAGCCTGAATGATGGCCTGGCTAAGGATGTCACCGCCGGTCCGTGGTCCGGTCGCGCAGTCGAAGCTGTACATGAAGTCCGCTTCTGCCGGGACCGTGGCTTCAGACGCGTCCGGGACTTCCTCTTCCTCAGAGGTGTCGGAAACGTGGGCCAAAGGACCGTCCACGGCGTCGACCACTTCGTTCCGGAAAGCCTTGCGGGCCAGAGTAGCAGCGTGGCCGCTCAGCTTGTTCTGAATGTCATGCTTGTGTTTGGCCTCAGATCGGCCGACTCTGCGATCTTGATCTCGCCGATTCGGTTTGCCCATGCATTTGCGGCAGTTGTCCTCCGGGTACGGGTGCTTGTGGCAGTGATGTTCGGGAGGTTCCTGCGCTCCTCTTGCCCACTTCTTGTTGTGATTCTTTTCACGGAGGTATGGTTTGGCTGCGCTACGGAGGTCGTTGCTGGGCAAGGCCGACATTATATAGGCTTGAAATGGCGCTCGGTAGGTGGGTAGACAGTTGGTGTGACTGAGGTAAGAGGGGTGTCGGTGCGTGTGCGTTCAGAAGAACTATAGGTCTGATGGAATGGGCAGGCTGTAGCAATGGACAGGACCTGATTAGGTACCAGATGAGTCAAAGAATGACGCGTGCAGAGATGACTAGAGAAGAGGAAGGAACAAAGGAGAGCGACAGCAGGGGACAAGCAGTGTGTATGTGGCAAGAGTGGCTGATAGAGAGGTAATAGAACAAAGAAGGGAGAGACAACCAAGAAGTTGTCGTCAAGATGAAAGAGAGGAGAGAATGAGCGGGTCTGAGAGATAAGGAGAGCAGCTGTGTTATTTGAATCGGGCCCGTGGTTCGGAAGTGAGGATGATGAAAGAGCAGAGGAAGGATGGAGGATGGAGGAGGATGGGATGCGTGTCACACGCAGCAACCACTGGCTGAGAACTGGCACGCGGGGCGGTTAGGGACCGACATGATGGGAGTCAGAACATGTATCAAGGTGCCAGCCATGTACTACTCGCTAGGTACTCGTATCTACTGTATCCTGCTGGTTGTTGATCTGAGATGTGGAGGAGGAGCAGGAGGGGCTACTGACTGATGCATGAGCAATGAGTTGATGCATTAGTGCCGAGTAGGGCCATGGTTGAAGCCGCGCGTGGGATACTGAATGCTGGACTGAGCGGGAATCATGCACGCGGCCAAGGCACAGGCGTGGGATTGGTGGAGCCTGGTGACCTGGTGGCCTGGAGGCCTGGGCAGCCCTGGGCAAATACGAGCAGCTGCTCGCTCGCCGAATGTCAGGCTTGCTAAAAACAAAGCATGTCATTTGGTGGCTTGGAGCTTGCAGCTCGGGCGAGTTCAAGAGGGAAATCCAAGGAACCGAACCGAGGCAGGGGACAAAAGCAGGGAAAACAACGCTTATAAGGATGACTGTTGAGACCCTGAGCTTCGGTGCTTTCCGGGGGCGCTTGGAGGGGTCGGGAGTGAGGGATCCAGGCAGGATACGAGGTTGTCCATAGGGCGTGCAGGGCATGGAGGGCATGGAGGGTAATTGGGGGCGTCTTTTTACTGCCTGTAATACCTGTGACGCCTGGACAAAGACGAAATGACCTCACTCCAGGCGCTTCTGTCGTGGCCATGTGACGATCCTCACAGCCTCTGTCCGGCTCATCTCTGTTCCCACATATACAGACTTTTGCACACATCATAATCATCATAGTCATCATCATCAACATCATCATCATCGCCACCAACCTTGCTTTCAAAGTTTGGTCTCAGTGACCCATCAAGTCAACACCAACACCATGACGGCACTCGGCTGTGATTCCATGCAATGGCTCAAGTTTACCTGCAAGAATTCCAGAGCCCGCCATTAGCCATTACGTACAGTCTTCCTATCGTTCCTAATTCTGCCTATCAGGCTGTAAAGCTACACTCGTGGCACATTCAATCGCGAATCCAAAACATCTCAAGAGCCAAGCAGGTCCCCAATAACTCAGCTCCAAGCAGTGAGGAGCATTGGCAACCAGCACCGCCTCGACTTTCGGCGAGTTGCTGAATGCCCGGCCGAATTCCTCAATGTCCTGCTGCGATGCGTGGAACAGCGAGTCTCGCTCTCCGATGGCTGCCAACACTGGCATTTTCACCTGCTCCGCGTATCCTTTCCAGTAGTTGTCCCAGTGAAGTCTTCTGTCCTCAAATTCTCCGAAGGGCGCCCGATGTGTGATTTCCTCCGAGACCCGACGCATCTCTGCACTCGCCAGTCCCAGCTGGGCGTCACCAAACATCAAAAAATCCTTCGCCCCCGGAGGAAATTCCACGTAACCCAACTCTCTCCCTCGTGCCAGCTGTTCTTCGCCTTGTGACTTGGGGAAAGCCGACACCATGCCCCGACCGGAAAGAATTACACTTGCCCATGGATATTGCACTACTGGCTCCTGAGCGTGCAAGGATGCAGCAATAACGCAGGGAGAACAGCCAAGTGAATGTCCCATCACCACCATCGTACTTGCGCCGGATGGCACGCCGTACTCCTCCCATATCTTGGGCAGAATATATTGATGCAAATACTTTCCTTCTTCTTGCGCATATGTTGATCCATTCGGCACAGACGGCAGGGATGAACTGTCTCTGTATCCCGGACGATCAATGGCCACGAAAGAAACCCCAGTTGCTCTGGATACTGTTCCAGCAGAGTGTTCCGGGAGGGTGTCGAAATATTGTGAACTGTAGGTGCCTCCATGTATTGCAACTATCAAGGGTCGATACGGCGGGGTTGTAGTGGTCTTGCCAGGAATGGAATATATGCCCGAGAGACGTGCATCGTTCGACAAGGTGAGCAAGAATGGCTTCATAGCGGAAATATCCAACGTTTCAAAGACCGGTCGACATTCTAGGGTTTTCGAGAGAGATCGAAGTGCGGAAGTACGAGCGCCGGTATATATCCGTCAGGGCTCGACACTTCACTCGCAGTCGTTCACAGTAAGTCGTAAGCGAATTGTGGAGAGAATAGTCCTCTGTTTGATTGACAGAGATGCCGTGTCATCTGGCACGATTCGGACCTCTATCCGCTTCTCACTCATTCTGCTGGGCCTGCATGTCATCCTCGCTCTCCTCTTCCGGCAGTCTGGATGGAAACCAACCATATTTGCCAAAGTCGACCGTCATCTCTTCAATGCCCCTGGCCGGGTTGACTTCGACGCCTTCCGCACGCAATCTCTCCGCCTGTCTGTTTGCAGCTGCTCCGTCATCACCGCGCGGACTGATGCCGCCCTTGGAGTTGACCACCCTCTGCCACGGGACATTCTGATCGTGAAAGAAGAATTGGTCCGGATCGGCAGGATCAAAGGTAGGCAGGTGTTTGAGACACACACCAACCTGTCTTGCACGTTTGGGGAAGTCGAGGAGCAAGGCAATGTGTCCGTAGCTGGTGACCCTGCCGTGGGGGATTTGCTGGATGGCCGAGTAGACAGCGTGGTACCACCACTGTGCTTCTTCGGATTTCTCGCGAGGCATGACTCTACTTGTAGATCCAAAGCCCGCCAGGACGACGCGAAATTCCTCAAAAACAAAGAGGGTTGATGGACAGACAAGCAAAAGCTTCTTTCGAATCGGTGGACCAAGGTGGACACAAATTCGAGATGGAGAAGCTTCAAGCAGTGTGCATGGGTGTAGGACCCCTGCTTGCCATGCTCTGCCCTGCTCGCCCTGCCAATGATGCTCGCAAACTCCACAAAAGATCCCGCTGCGGTCTTTGTTTGTTTTTCCCCCTTCATTAGGCCATGTTTACCATGTGTTTGGCCCACCAAATAAATCCCAGACCTTGAAGTCAGCCCTGCCTTCCACTTTGCAGTGGTGCTGGCAGAACACTGAGTTGTTCATGTGTTGACTTAGGACCTTCCAAGCTTTCTCCCCCACAACATGGCGTTTCGCGGTACAGAAAGTCCCATGGACTTCGAATGGCAAGGCCACGGTCCCGTCGATCCCACCTCCCCCTACCATAAACGCGTTCTCGAGATGCAGGCCAAAAAGCGTACGTCTTGCTGTTCTTCTACGTTGTTGCTATACTAATTATATCAGGTACTCACAGCGAGTTTGAGTCTCCCGAGAAACCAACAATGCCAGCGCTCCGCGAACCCAACAACCAGCCATTCTTCTTCTCAGATACCCCGGTATCGCCGCCTGAATCCTCTCCTTTTCGCACTCCCTCATTTACAACCCCTCGGAAACCGTTTGACATCGACTTCTCATCCCCGCCTGACAATTCCTCGCCGCTGGCACCCACAGACAATGAGGAAACGCCAGACGCTACACCGATACCCATCGAGTTCAAAAGCGGGCCTTCAAAATCAGAGAATAAGAGAAGCTCGTTATTTGGTCTTTACGGCAGATTTGCTCCAATCCCCGGAAGAGGAGAGATCAGAAAGCCCACGAGCGATGCTGTCGCGAGACGGATTCATAAGAAGCGACGGCGCGCTCAGCAGTTTGACAGACAATTGATGATAGGCAGAAAGGGTTCCTTGGATGACAGCGATGATGAGAGCACCCCAAGTCCGACTGAGCCAGGACCAAAGAAACCGCCGGCAAAAGACCCAGGGTGGATAACCGGACTGTTCACATTCATCCACACATACCCCGATGCACCATCTATTATTGCCAAATACCTCCAGGTTTTTTTTAACGCCGCGATCCTCGGTGGTTGCCTGTATATGTTTTGGTCGTTTTACGCGACCATTCAGGCAGATGTGGACCGAGCGAGCGAAGATGCAATGGCCGAAGTGTTGGCAGAGATGGCGGCGTGTTCCAAGAACTTTATCGAAAATCGATGTGCTGCTGATACCAGGCTGCCAGCTTTGGAAGCGGTGTGCAGCAATTGGGAGTTGTGCATGAAGCGGGATCCTAGCGCTGTGAAGCGAGCGAGACTGAGTGCACATACATTCGCAGAAATCTTCAACAGCTTTGTCGAGCCTATCAGCTTAAAAACTATGATCTTCACCATCACCCTGGTTGTGGTGGGTTTGGTGGTGAACAACGCCACATTTACCCTATATCGGCGACAACAAGAGAACCAGCATATCTATCGAGCACCCTCTGGATCATATGCGCATCCTCAGCAACACCCTATACAAATAGGTCAGTTTCCGCTCTCTCCCGCCGCACCCTACGTTCAACACCCATATGTGGGCTGGCACGGTGAGCCTGGGTTTGGCGGCCAGCAGCAGTTGGAATATCCTCGAAGTCCCAGCAAAGAGCATCGAGCACGGAGCAGAAGTCCAGAGAAGAAGAGAATTCAACTCTGAAATATTACGATTGATGTGATAAGTTCAGCGATTGGTGTTTGGAGGTTGGATATTTGTCTAGCGACGCAAATGTTTGTGTGAGTATTTGGATGGCGTTTGCTCCACGTTGACGCAGAAACTGGAGAAACGATCAATTCTTTACAGCGACGGCAATTCCAAAGTCGGCAAGAGAGTTCTGATCCTGGATATTGGGTTGAGAACGTTGACAAGCGAGAAGTGTGGGGGAAGTCGTGCAAATCGCCGTGCGTGGGCGTCTATCCACTTCGGCCAAAATTCAGATGCGCGCCCTTCAGACATTTTCAATTGACATTGTCAACTCGAGCCATTTTGTTTCCTTCGCTGACTTTCTATGCCGCTCCTTCTCTGATATAAACCATTCACTCTCTCACTCGTGTCCACAGCCGTATTTAGCACTTCCAGCCCAGCATCTTGTCAAACCGCCACTATATTCACGCACTCGTTCTGCAAATTTCAATCCCAGGAAAAGTGTATATACTCTACAGGCTTTGTGACCTCTTTTTTAGCCTACAAACGTTCTGTTCTCGGCAAGAATTTATACGAGTTCTCTCCTTCGACCTCGTCCCTCTCGCGCCGCTACCCCATCACAAAGAAACAAGCAGAGAAAGAAAGGGGAAAAGAGGAAGGACGGAACGAGCGAACGATGGCCGAACAGGTAACGTCGACGTACAAGATCCGATACGCCACGGAGCGCGACGTTCCCGTGATCCTGCAGCTGATTCAGGAGCTGGCCATCTACGAGAAGGCGCTCCACGAGGTCTTTGCGACGGAGCAGTCGCTGCGAGAATCGCTGTCGTTCCCGCTCGACCCGGCGGACCTGGACAAGGGCTTCACAGAGGGCTATGCGAAGACCCTGCTCATCTGTCCTCCTGCTGATGTCTCGTCGCGTGCTAAAGACCAGGAGGAGGTCGCAGGCATGGCGCTGTACTTCCACAACTACTCGACCTGGCACGCTCGGCCGGGCATCTACCTGGAAGACCTGTTCGTACGGCCCTCGCACCGTGGCCGGGGCTACGGGACGGCGCTGATCCGCGCGCTGGCCAGGGAGTGCCGCCGCCTCAACTGCAGGCGGCTCGAGTGGTCCGTCCTTAAGTGGAACACGCCCAGCATCGACTTTTACCAGGGCGCCAGCGTCGGCGCCACCAGGATGGAGGAGTGGGTTGGTATGAGAGTCGAGGGTGACCGGCTGGAGAGACTGGGTAGGATGGTTGAGGGAACGAGAACGTCATAACAAGACTCGTTACCTGAGGGACTAGAAGTAATGGCGATCGCGAGAGAAAGGAAAAGGTCAAAACGGCACCGGGAAGGGGGTGTTTCTCTCTCTTCGTAGAACCGTTAGCTCCTCCTTTTGCATAGATCGACATCTGCTGTATAGAACGGACGCAGCACGGAAAAAGGATCGCGGACGGTCACCCAGAATATGGTTTTGTGGCTGTGAGGTCAACATCAAGTCTTTGGTTTCGTCTCGTCCGCTGTAAACACCGAAAACGCCTACTTTGCCTGATTCCCGCATAGGTGTCTGACTCCGAGTTCCAAGATTGCAGTTCCCTTCCAACAGTTAGGTCTGCCACTGCTGCATTCTCACTCTTGATTCATGACCGACATCAGCCCCAACTAACAAGTGCCCTTTGTATCCTGCGCACCTCTTCGATTTCTCGTAGCCCTCCAAGCCCTCCACGCTCACATAACCACACAACAACTGTTCTGCTTCTTGGCTTGCTGATAGAATATCCTACTCTGCGCGCTTAGACCGTCACTCTTGGCGACGAGAGAATCAATTTTTTCTCCTCTCTCCAGAACGCTCTGGATCGTCTTGTGCAGCACAATCTTGGTCTCGTCCAACTCTCTTTGCACTTTCATGATACTATCGGCTTGGCCCGGATCCTGGTATTTCACGATATACTCCTTGAGTTGCGGGAATGGTCTTGTGTTCGGGGGGTTGGTCGAGTATGAGGATCGCGGATTCTGCGAGGAATATTCGTCGATTATCTTGGAGAGGAGCTGGTGTGCGACGAGCGCCGGGTATTCGGCGTCGGATATGATGATGCCGCAGAGCCCTAGGCTGGAACTGTAGGCGTGGAATGTGTAGGATTTCTCTTCAATGTCGGATCTCACGCCGGGCCGGGTGCGTTCGGCCACTGTTTTGGCGAACACGGTCATGAATTCGCCATAGCTGGACAAAACACGTGCGTTAGCATCGTCAACGAGGGGGATATATGAGCTTGCAGGCGACGAATGTGGTATCCCTACCTGTCTCGAGTGAAGCGAGAGAATGAGGACAGGTCTCGCTCAACAGCGAGTTCGATGGCAGGAGCGGATTCGTTTCGAAGGACCTGGAGAGATGTTAGCATATACGTCCTACACTATAATGTATGATCAAAGCATTTGCTTACTCCAATGTAGAAGATCTTCATTCTGGCGGTGTGTCCTGCTTTCCCACGGTGGAAGAGCTGAGGTAGCAGAGACGGATCAAGGTCAAATTTCCGCCTGAGAGGTTAACACGGCAGTAGAAAGCCAAGAGACAGGATTCTGTTGTAGAAATGAAGAATTGCAGGAGCAAGGAGAGTGGGATTTTGTCAAGAAATGATAGAGCGGCTGAAATGTGAGTGCCTGTAATCTGGGGGAACGTCACAAGTGTAGCGCCGGGACAAAAGGTCCCCGCCGTCTTGCCTTTGTGGGCGGTGCCAGCCTTCTCAGCCTTCTCAGCCTTCTGTAGCCCGCCAAATGCCCCTCCTGCCTCAGGTTTGAGCCCCCATTCTTTGCCTAGGTACCCAGCTTATCAGCCTAGAACCTCCCAGACCGCCGTGATACTCCTTCAGCCTATTAACGTCGAGTCCTTCTAGGGCGAGGCTGCACTTACTACTGTACTCAGTTCCCAGTACGTGCGAGTCATCAGTCACAGAAAAGTTACTTTTTCACTTGGTCGAATCTCTCTTCCTGCACCAACAAAACACAGCCTCCCGGCACAGGCTGCTAAGTTCATTCTTATCACACTGCCTGTTTCGGCCATCTTTATTGCTCTGCCTGTGCAGCCGATCGCAAAATGGTCGACCCGACTTTTCACTCGGAGGAACAATGGCTGGCTCAAGTGGCTGCCATGCGACAAGCCATTGCCGATTTGAAATTGCCATCCCTCAACGATGCTTCGCAGATGTATGGGATAGATCTCGACTTGGACGAAGATTTGAGTGAAGACATTGATGACGACATCTGGGATGCCGAAAGCGCTGATGACGAGAGCCCTTTCACTGATGAATTCGGCGAGACGGCTAATGGGTTCAAAACTCCCAACTTTGTTACCGACGGTGTCTTTGACAGGGCGTGGCTGCGCTCGAAATGTGCTGCCTGGAGTCGTTCAAGGTCTGGCATTGACGCCTCTGACATTGAACACCGAATCATTACTCTTTTGGCATCTGGCAGTTCGGACGATGAATTGCAGATGTCACTTGCAGATATCGTGGGCTTTGACGATCTCGACCTTGTCATTGAACTTATCTCTCATCGCAAAGAGGTTCTAACTGCTCCAACTGCAACCACTCGTCAGACAGATGGACTTTTCGGGACGCTTGAGACCCGTCAGGAGCGAGAAGCAACGCTACGACGACAAGACTATGAGCACAAACGTGCTGCTCTTGCCCCAGCTTTTGATCGATCTGGGCCCAAGTATCCTCATGTCTACAAGTCTGATGTCGCTGCTACGGGCAACATGTTGGATGTGGCTGGCAGGAGATATGCTCTACCTGTTGGCAGTACCCGCCTTGACCATCAAAAATATGAGGAGTATTCAATCCCTGCCTCAAAAGTAGGCTCCCTTGCTGCGGGACAGAAGCTGGTCAATATCTCTGAGATGGATGGTTTATGTCAGCGGACCTTCAAGGGCTACAAGAGCCTGAACCGAATGCAGAGTCTACTTTATCCTGTGGCATACACTACTTCCGAGAATATGCTAATTTGTGCTCCTACTGGTGCTGGTAAAACTGATGCTGCCATGCTCACAATTCTGCAGGCGATTTCGAAGAACGTCATACCCAATCCAATCGAAGAGCCCACCGCCACGGACTTTATAGTAATGGCAGACGACTTCAAGATCGTTTACGTTGCACCAATGAAAGCTCTCGCTGCAGAGGTCACCGATAAGCTGGGCAAGCGTCTAGCTTGGCTTGGTATTCAAGTGCGAGAGTTGACTGGCGATATGCAGTTGTCCAAGAAGGAAATTGCTGCCACTCAAATCATCGTGACAACCCCGGAGAAGTGGGATGTTGTCACTCGGAAGAGTACAGGAGATACTGAACTCGTCCAGAAAGTCCGGCTTCTCGTTATCGACGAAGTCCATATGCTCCATGATGAGCGTGGCGCTGTTATCGAGTCTTTGGTTGCTAGGACCGAACGACAGGTGGAAAGCACACAGTCACTGATCCGTATCGTTGGACTCTCAGCCACTCTTCCAAATTACATTGATGTTGCAGATTTTCTGAAGGTCAACCGGATGTCTGGTCTGTTCTACTTTGATGCTTCTTTCCGCCCAGTCCCGCTTGAACAACATTTCATTGGCGTCAAGGGAAAGGCTGGAAGTAAAACCCAGCGCGAAAACCTAGATCAAACAACCTTCGAAAAAGTCAAGGAGCTTCTGAAACAGGACAAGCAAGTCATGGTCTTTGTCCACTCCAGGAAAGACACTGTCTTAGCTGCACGAACTCTCAATCAAATGGCTATTGACGACGGATGTGCGGACCTGTTCGTCCCAGGTCCCGACAATGCTGCCTATGTGAGAGCAATGGCGGATTTGAAAACCACTCGAGGCCGAGAATTGCGAGAAATTGTGCCCAAGGGTTTCGGGTGCCACAATGCTGGAATGGCGCGATCAGACAGAAATTTTGTCGAACGAATCTTCTCTGAAGGCGCGATCAAAGTTCTTTGCTGCACAGCAACCCTTGCATGGGGTGTCAATTTGCCTGCGGCTGCCGTTATCATCAAAGGGACGCAACTTTACAGTGCTGAAGCTGGCAAGTTTGTGGATCTTGGGATCCTAGACGTGCTTCAAATTTTCGGCCGCGCTGGGCGTCCGCAGTTCCAAGACAGCGGTGTGGGATATATTTGCACCACTCAAGACAAATTGCAACATTATCTATCCGCCGTCACTCAGCAACAACCCATCGAGTCCAAGTTCTCCCAGAAGCTTGTCGATAACCTCAATGCTGAGATCAGTCTAGGCACGGTAACGACAGTTCAAGAGGCCGTTACCTGGTTAGGCTACACCTATTTATTCATTCGCATGCGGCGGAACCCGCAGGCGTACGGAATAGATTGGACCGAGTACCAGGACGACCCTCAACTGGGCCAAAGACGGCGGAAACTAATTGTCGATGCTGCTAGAACACTGCATCGAAGTCAAATGATTATTTTCAATGAACGGACGGATGAACTCCGGGCGAAAGATGTCGGTCGGATCGCCAGCCAATATTACGTGCTTCAGAGCAGTATCGAAATATTCAACACCATGATGCGACCACATGCAAGTGAGGCAGATGTTCTGAAGATGATCAGCATGAGCGGTGAGTTTGACAATATTCAGTCTAGAGACAATGAAGCGCAAGAACTACATCGACTGCGACAGGAAGCAGTCGTGTGTGAGATCGAGGATCGAAAGAGTGGCCCGAAGAACTCCGAGGATGAGAAAGAGCAGAGAGTCATCGAAAACCACGCAAAGACAAATATTCTGCTTCAGTCATACATATCTAGGGCCAAACTTGAAGATTTCGCCTTAGTGTCAGACCTGGCATATGTTGCACAGAACTCGGCTCGGATTTGTCGAGCCTTGTTCATGATCGCTTTAAATCGTGGCTGGGGTTATCAATGCCAGGTTCTACTTTCCATGTGCAAGGCCATCGAGAAGCAAATCTGGCCTTTTCAACATCCCTTCCACCAGTTTGATCTTCCTGTTCCAGTCTTGAAGAATTTGGACGACAAGGCGCCTTCCTCAAACATCGAAAGCCTACGAGAAATGGAGCCAGCTGAAATTGGGAATCTTGTCCACAACCAGAAGATGGGGACTACCTTGACGAAGTTGCTCGACAATTTCCCCACAATGTCTGTCGAGGCGGAAACCGCACCACTTAATAGAGATGTGCTCCGTATGAGGTTGTACCTCTATCCAGAGTTCGTCTGGAATGACCGTCACCACGGTACTTCCGAAGCATATTGGGCTTGGGTTGAAAATTCAGAGACGTCAGAAATCTACCACCATGAGTATTTCATCTTGAGCCGAAAGAAGATGCACGACAATCACGAACTCAACTTCACTATACCGCTGGCCGACCCTTTGCCTTCTCAGATATATGTCAGAGTCATATCGGATCGATGGCTGGGCGCAGAGACTGTACATCCGGTCTCTTTCCAACATCTCATTCGGCCGGATACGGAGAGTGTGTATACTGACCTCCTTGACTTACAGCCCCTTCCCATTACCGCTTTGAAAAACCCAGCGCTAGAAGAGCTCTATGGACAACGCTTCCAGTTTTTCAATCCGATGCAGACCCAAATTTTCCATACTTTGTATCATACTTCGAACAACGTCCTCTTGGGCTCACCAACCGGTTCTGGGAAGACCGTCGCCGCAGAGTTAGCTATGTGGTGGGCGTTCCGTGAAAGACCCGGGAGCAAAGTCGTGTACATTGCACCCATGAAAGCCCTTGTTCGAGAAAGAGTCCAAGACTGGCGCAAGCGCCTCACCATACCGTTGGGTTTGAAGCTTGTCGAGTTGACTGGTGACAATACACCAGATACACGGACTATTCGCGATGCAGATATCATCATCACCACGCCTGAGAAGTGGGACGGTATATCACGATCATGGCAGACCAGATCCTACGTTCGACAAGTTTCTCTCGTGATTATCGACGAGATCCATCTTTTAGGCGGTGACCGCGGTCCCATTCTTGAGATCATCGTGTCAAGAATGAATTACATCGCGTCGCAAGCAGAAAGTGGCTCGATTCGCCTGGTCGGCATGTCGACTGCTTGTGCCAACGCCACCGACTTGGCAAACTGGCTTGGAGTCAAGCCTGGAAATAATCAAGGGCTGTTCAACTTCCGTCACAGTGTCCGTCCAGTTCCGCTCGAGATATACATCGACGGATTTCCCGAGCAGAGGGGATTCTGTCCGTTGATGCAAAGCATGAATCGGCCGACTTACCTGGCCATCAAAAATCATAGTCCAGACAAGCCTGTCATTGTGTTCGTGGCATCGAGAAGGCAAACTCGTCTCACTGCAAAAGACCTCATCAATTTCTGTGGCATGGAAGAGAATCCGAGAAGATTTTTACATTTCGACAATGAAGATGATCTCCAGCATACTCTGTCGGCGGTCAAGGATGCTGCGCTGAAAGAGGCGTTGAGCTTTGGTATCGGGTTGCATCATGCCGGGTTGGTTGAGTCTGATCGAACCCTCTCTGAGCAACTTTTTGCCGCAAACAAGATCCAAATACTCGTTGCCACGTCGACGCTTGCGTGGGGTGTCAATCTACCTGCTCATCTGGTTGTTGTCAAAGGCACACAGTTCTTCGATGCGAAAATCGAAGGATACAAGGACATGGATTTGACCGACGTCCTTCAGATGCTTGGTCGAGCGGGACGACCGCAATTTGACACGTCTGGGATTGCTCGCATTTTCACCCAGGACTCAAAGAAGGCATTTTACAAGCATTTCCTACATACAGGGTTCCCTGTGGAGAGCTCTCTGCACAAGGTCCTCGATAACCACTTGGGTGCCGAGGTTTCCGCTGGAGTCATAACCACCAAGCAAGACGCGCTCGATTACTTGACCTGGACATTTTTCTTCCGTCGTCTCCATAAAAACCCGACGTACTATGGTCTTGAGATTTCAGCGGAGGAGCACAGGGACAATCAGCTTGCTGCTAGACAAGCTGCTGCAGATTACATGATCACGTTGGTGGATAAGTCGCTCGACGACCTGGCTGAAAGTGACTGTGTTTTGGTGCACAATAATGGTGATGTGGACAGCACTCCGTTCGGAAAGATCATGTCGTACTACTATCTCAGTCACTTGACGATTCGCAAGTTCTTGTCCAAAGCCCGCAAGACTCCTTCGACTACCTTCGCGGATGCTCTGGCTTGGATCAGCCTAGCTACCGAATTTGACGATCTCCCTGTCCGGCATAATGAAGACCTCATCAACGCTGAATTGGCCAAAATTTTGCCCTTGGACACCGAAGGCCTAATGGACAATCTGCCGATGTGGGATCCTCACGTCAAGGCATTCCTCCTCATCCAAGCGTTCATGGCTCGCATTGACCTCCCCATCTCCGATTATGTCGGCGACCAAATCTCTGTGCTGGACCAAGGCATTCGCATCATCCAAGCCGGAGTGGATCTTATGACGGAGCTCAACAGATTTGATGCGGTTGTGCAGATGGTCCAACTGCTGCAGTCCATCAAATCAGCACGATGGCCGGAGGATTACCCGCTGAGCATTCTTCCTGGTGTGGATGAGGTGTTTGACGATAGACTTGAAGGAAGAGTCCCAAAGGATTTGGTCACGACGGCCGTGCTGTCAACAAGGCATGGCACGAAGACGATGGACGGGTTGATGAACGTGCTTGGAATCAAAGCTCATAATACTCGGACGTCGTTCATAAAAGTTGTGAATTCCCTCCCAGACATTACTTTGTCGGCGACAGGTGACACGGACAATCTGCAGCTCACTCTGAAACGCAGCAATCGATTGCTTGACCGTGAAGCTAGAATCTACGCCCCGAAATTCCCGAAGCCACAGACAGAGGGGTATTTTGTGCTTGTGCTCCCTTCTTGTTCGGGGTCAAGTCGACAAGGAGTGGATATCTTGGCCCTCAAGAGGGCAAATTGGTCTACCACGAAACAGGGAACTCAGAGCAAGGCGATAGAAACCGCAAACGTCAAACTCAAGATCCCGGCTCCAGAATCACTTTTGGGAAGAGAGCAAGCAGAGGTGAGAGTTGATATACTGGTAATGAGCGATGCATACCCAGGGATGGAGTGGCGATTGGAAAATGTCGTTGTGCCCGTTGCCCAGAAGACCGAGGTTCCAAAGACAGTAGAGGTCAAGGTTGATGAGAGTTTGCTGAAGAAGAAATAAACAAAATGGGAAAGGAGCGAAAGCTCGGTTACAGCATGAATGAATTGACATGAAAGGTTAGTTTCTATTTGAAGATAAAAGAGCAATGGTTGCTACATCCAACAGTCATGGGTGCCACCGCGAATACAAGCAAACTTTTCAGACTCGGACTTGTTTATCCAGGCTCTAGATGGGGACCTGCTCCCGCTATGAGATTCCATGGCTGCTCCGTAGTCTCCGCCTTACAAACTCCCTGCCTTGCCCGCGACGCTTGACGTTCCCTCACAGGACCAGCAAACCCCTGATGGTTTGTATTTTAACCAGGTCCGAATGCATCAGTCGCCTTCCTCACACAGATGTATGGGGTATCGGCGCTCTTGACTACCCCTCTGCCTTCTCCAGCGTTCTTCATCTTGCAGAAGAAAGCCTCGTGACCTTCGTGGTGTGCTTACGCCTTTCTTCCCCCCAGCACGTGGACCTCGACCTTCAAGTCTTCTTTCCCGGCACTCTTTCACCACGTTGCGCTGAAATCAGTTGGGGTCGTTTTGAGGGCTAAGTTCCCCAAGGGCGGAAGTCCATTGGTAGTCGCGGTATGGTTTCTTGGTGCAGCTTTCTTGCAGATTGTAGATGATTCCGAGGTAGTGGTTGTTGCTGAGTGCGGGGCGGACGATGGACAAGGGTATATCTGCCTTGACGGCGTCGAGTAAGGGCTGGGCTGTCGTGGCTTTCGCGCACGGGATGGGGGAGGAGTCGACCGCGTGCTTTCGGTTGAGGACGACGCGGCAAAGGATTTTTCTGTCCGTTATAGCTGGCGTCTTCGTGTGTTTCTTTGGCGGGTTGAGATCCTTTGGCGGCTTCAGGTACTTCGTTGGTATCTCGAGGTGGTCCTTCGGCGTCCTCGGGCGTCGCTAATAGTGCTGTCAATGCCTCTTGTTCGGCCATTGTGGCTGTTTAGGTGTGCTTTCGATGGACGAGTTCACGGTTTGGCTACTTTTCAGAAGTTCTAATAGAAAGAAACAAGACGATATTTGTAATTGAACGGCGCAGGTAGTGGTCGCGAATTTTAGCGAGACCGAGGGCAGAAGCGCTCTCTTCACTTTGGGCTCACATATTAGCTGCAGGGCCCAATGACAGTCATCCAGTCTCCATCTTTAGCTACCTGTAGTGATTTCAAGGCTGGTTCGTCCGATTGTCTCTGTGTAGCTATGGCCTCTTGTGTATTCACCAAGAAACCCCCTTTCTCATACAGCCTTGCGTAGCCTTGTCCAGCCTTGCCATATTGGCCATAGACCTTTGTTGTTGCCGCTACATAGAACATTCAATATTGATGTGACTGGGAGCCAACGGCGCGGATATGTGATGGATTGTTCTGTCTACCCAGTTTCAGGCCCAAAAGGAGCTTTTTGATCTCCTCTACAGGTTCTCGCCGTAGCCGAGGAGGATCGTTCTAACACCAGACACTAGATATCTGACCGAATGTCAAAGGTATAGGTGTCTTCAGGAGACTCCTGCACAGAGAAGAAACTAAAGACACCAGCTCTCTGTGGATTATTGACTCACTCCGTAGTAAACACATAGCACTTGCCAGGAAAGGCGACGCTGGTTTCTCAGGCCCGACCCGAGCTCTATCCTACTCTACATAATGTCATCATCAGCCGTATTCATTCTTCCACAATAAAAGTTCATAGCAAGTCTAGCAGGTCTTCAGGTCTGAGACCATCTGCTGTTGGCAGCTCCGGTGGCGGTGTTGTGAGCAAATGAAGCGGTATTACGGGATGAGAGACTTTGTAATGAAGCTCATTTTGCCGTATCAGATATCTTCCATCCGTATCCCATCCACCATGTCAAACCGAGACGGTAGTTCTGCTTGAGGTTGAAGAGAACCTGACTCTAGAATGCTTCTCGAAGCCCACTATCGCCAAAGTTGTACGAGCGCGAACGAAGATCTGTGTGTGAGGGGCAAGGCAGAAACGCTCCATTTGAAGATATCGTGTCATGGTTTCGTCTTCGGCGGCGTCTTCCAGCAAATACTGAGCCACACCATGGTAGTCACATCGGCCCTCCTCCAGGAAATATTCTTTGATGGACCGAGTGAGGTAGATCTCGGGGAGGGTAATGCCTAGTGCGTGAATGTGAGAGTTTCGGCCCTCTTCCCAGATCACTTCCCCCAAGAGCTGTTCCAACTCGCGTGGGGGTTGGGCCTCGCAAAGGTGGCCAAAGCCTGAGATCCAAGCCCATTCCGCTTTGTGTCCGTCCTTCTGTAAAGATATTTCCGCATTTCCGCTTCAAGTGGTAGGTGGATCTTCCCTTTTTGGATCGTTGCGAGCGACAACTCTCGAAAGATCCCGGCTGCCGAGAAGGACGGCGGTGAAAAAAACAAATAAGGGTAGATAGATTCGGCTAGATCAGGCGGGAAACTATCTTCAATCGGCGCTTGAATCAAGTGGGGAACTTCGATTGATGCGCATGCATCGCGTGTCAAGTTGTTCTCAAGTACATGAAGCACTATTGTATATTTGATGGGAGCTTGTGAGATCCTGAGTCGTTCGCAAATGTAGAGTCGAGGGCTGACGAACCCGTTGAACTCGACACACGCTTGGCCCTTGCCGGGTTTGTCTTCAGGCGTGAAGCGAGCCGTAAAGACGCAAGTCAGGTCCCTCTTCTGATACTGTTAGAAAGTGAAGATCAGAGCCTGACGTTTCGAAGCTTTACGAATGTACTCAGGCTCGTCGGCTCATCGGTACTCCACAATCACGTGAGAATATTGGCATGCACTTTTGGTTGAAGGGCCGACTCGCTAAGTACTACCGAGGCTGGGTTTCTTCACCGAGCCGTCAGACAGCCTCCTCCATAAGCCATAGATTCTTGAGGTCAATTTCCACTCACTTTTTCTTAGATGATGATTGATGATATTGATATCGCTGAATACCCATAAGGTTAAGATTGCACTCAGAGAATATAGCAGTCACGTATCATAAAATAAAAGGGGGAAGCCAAGTCTATTTAAGGTCGTTCTTTCGCTGTGCTACTCTTTTTGCCACTTAGCCCGCTAGCTCTAGAAAGATGGGTAAAGAAAAGCGAACGCTCAGGAGGATATTCGTGAGCAATTTCACTGTCGACAATCGCCCAATCGAAGGCGATTCTAGACCTAGGAGTCCTCTACTATCGAAATAGTTATTGGTTGGACTATCCGGGGCCCGGTTGCCGAACCTGCTTCGGCTATTGAACGCCGACTGCACATTGTCGACATGCCTTCGTAACGCGGCCGGAGGTGCAATTCTCCGAAGCGAGCGGAGAAAGGGCATCGGCTCGGTCATGTCCTCACTTTACAAAATGTCTCACTGTACGCTAGATAGGGCGGGTCTCAGGCCGGGCTTGCTGCTGGAGCAGAGGATTGGGTTATGGAGCCACATTTGGACGTAATGCAGTGGGCTGGATTTGCTGTCAAATTCGACTCCCTTGAGGGCAAAACGAAAAGGGTTAAAAAAGGGGGAATAGACACCAAAGTCGACGGCGGTCGTCGCAAGAGGAGAAAATGAGTTGCTTCATATTCGCCGGGAGAGCTAGCAGAGACTGTGTTTGAACTGTTAGAGACTCGAATAGGGTTAAATTCTGCAACTAGTCGCTTTCACAACGCAAGACTCTGATTGCTGGCCAGATCCCTCCTTTTTTGTTTACAGCTCCAGGATTTCAAGGGGGATATCGATCGTTTTCGCCCGGATATAGTCAGCAAACGCCTTGCCCAGGGAATCGAGCAAGGTGCTTGCCAACACGCCACGACCGAGGATACCGTATACCACAAAATGCACCGCCTTGATCTCTGGGAACTCCATTCTCTCGATGAAGTACGTGTCTCGCCAGTCGTCGCCGATCAACTCCTGAAGTTTCTTCCGCGACATGTATCCGCGGAACCAGTCCCAATGAGCCGGGTTCCTGGGGTAGATGCCGAAGTTACAGTTTGCCCCTTTGTCTCCGGATCGGCCGTATGCTATATCACCCAGAGTGACAGTTCGAGTGGGTCCCTGTGGGTTACGCAAAGCATACGGTTCGGCGTCAAAATTAATCCTTCGTTCCAGATGGTAGTACTCGGTCGGCAATTTCGCGTCAATGGTTTTGACGACTTTTCCATCTTTGCCCAGAATGTGTGCTGCTTCCTTGAGAGCGGTCTGATCATACAGACCGGGATAGAAAGATATGTACGGCTTGGGGTGAGCAGTACGGTAGTCAAGCGACCAGTGCAACCCTAAAGCAAATATCAGAATGGATTGAACGACGACAACGGTTGAAAGTGAGTCCTTTAAGAGGTTGGGTGGTACTTACCGTGGAAGTGTTGCATTATGTGGTCCGCCCAAGCTGGGAATATCTGGGAAATAGCCTCTTCAGTCGGAGCCTGGGCAAAGACACGACAATATGTCGTACTGCGGAGTTGGCTTCGAGGATTGGGCTCCGGCACGCCCACACTTTTGAGGGGTTGGAATATGTCAGCTCTGAAGGTCCGAAGAAACAAGGCATGCATTTAGAACTCCCCAAGAGCCACAAAAGAACTCGAAGGATTTGCTCACATCTGGAATTCCAGGTGGTCAAACTGATCCAGAACACCTCTCTCGTTGAGGAAAAAGCGCATCTGCTTCTCGAACAACTGCCATTTCTTCTCTGTAGCGTACCCAGCTGCGTTGGCTAAAAGCTGGCATTGATACCCTGCGTCGTAGAAGACAGCTAGCTTCGTCGTAGGAGGCGGCGGATAGCCCTTGATCCCCGACATTTGGACCCGGTTTTTGCCAACGTCCCTGATTACGATGTTGGTCGTGTCGGCAGAAACATCACTGTTCAAGTAGATCGCGCCCTGGATCTCGTAGAGGAACTGACATGTGATAGTGTCCGCGTTTACTATGCCTTTCGTGGTGTTTTCATGTTTGGTAATCACCGCAGTACCGTCGTTAGCCACCTCGGCGATACCGAAGGGAAGGTCCACAAACAGGTCCAAATCGAACTGATCGAATCCGGCAAAATTGGCGCCGGTGGTGTATGCTGAGCATTCGATCAAATGACCAGCGATAAGTGCACTCGCAAGTTGGTCGTAGTCTGTTGGCTTCCATTGATGCCAATACCAAGCGGCAGCAATAACGGGAGATGCGTCGGCGACTCGGCCGGCGATGACAATATCTGCGCCGCCGTCTAAAGCCCCAACAATACCCCTTGCACCGAGATATGCATGTGAAGTAATCACTGGTCTAGATTGGTAATCCTGTAGCGCAACAGCTAGCTTCTCAACCTTGACGTCGGGATTATTAGAATCGAGATGAGCTGGGATTTGACCTGTTCGAGCAATTTGGTCTTTCGTTTCTTCGGTCAGATCATCGCCGGAGAGGTAGGCAACCTTGAGAGAGAAGCCTTTCTCGTTCACCTAAGGCTTAATTAGATACTTCCCGATGTCGAGAGAAAGCGTATTGCGTGGATGTGGGAGAGTCGTACCAGTTCTTGGACTTTGGCTGCGAGCCCAGCAGGGTTCAGGGCTCCTCCATTGACGATGACTTTTAGCTCTTTCTGGGCAATCAGATCGATGGTTTGCACAAAACCGTCCCAACAAGTCGGCTCCCAACCCTCGTGCAAACCGGCATCCATTCCCTTTTTGTTTTCTGGGAGATTGATCTCTGTTCGATATCACGCACAGAACCATCAGTCTCGCATCTTGACAATGCCGGAAAACAGGAATTCATGTCATGTCTCAGCACTTACCCGCGAGGTAGTCGCCCGTCAAGAAATCAACGTCGCCCCATTCCGCTTGTCGACGCATGTGATAACCGGGATCGGCTGGTGAAACGTTAGCCTCTCTACCTGGGTTGATATCAACAACTATTTAGAGGAACACGAACTTCTGGCACCTGAGACATTGGCAATCCTGGCGGGCCGCTTGCCTCGCTGGTCCCATCTCGATTCTTTTACAATCATGGCCAGGTGTTGGAGTGGCGTAGAGAGTGGGTTGATATCCAACGAGAAAATAAGGCGGCGGTGATTACTGTGGCTGACAGAAATCAGATTCTTGAAAAGAAAAGAATGTCCACTGGGCGCAGGATGCTCATGTAAATATTCTGGAGTGGAGGTCTCCTGGCGGTCTTCGGTTCTCCAAGTTGTGCAAAGCGTCGCGAGGTCTCTTCTGTTGCAGCCGTTCCACTATGCCCCGGAGTTGCTACTCACCTCCAACCCACTTGCATCCGTAAACATTTGAGACCTGGCTCTTGGAAAACCCGAGGCCTCGGAGGTTTGGATCACCGGGACCGAGACCCCTTACCTGGTGCAATAGATCAAGCTGACTTCCATCTCCTTGGCGGCCGTCCAGATCCTGTTGAGAATTGGGTAGTTTCGCGGAACAGACGAGAACTGAACACGCCTTCTATTCTACGTTTCACATCTCTGCGCTGCACTCCTGCTTAGCTACTACAGCGGTGAGCTCGTAGTACGAAAATACAAGCTGTCTATCAGCAATCATTCCGCATACCCTGCCTCGAGACGAATCAAACATGCTGAACTTCACAATCCTCGATTCAATTGTCTGTCCGAAGCACATGAAAATAGAGCGTGCGGCACAGGCTCAGCCAAATAAGGAGAAGAGACCGGCATTGTTAGACTCCTAGATCACCGAAGGGCCACAATGGCCCACTTGACTCGAGTCCATCGGGATCAAACGTCGTAGAGAAAAGCCCTTGGTCGTCATACAGCGAAGGCATAAAATCCGGAGACAGTATTGGCAGCGACATGCGTAGCCTGGACAGCAACCCTTCATCCTCTTCGCTCCAGTCTTTCTGTCGTTGTGATGGTAGAGGTGGGAAATTGCACCGACGCATCAGGGAGAGGACGATGTTGGACAGCGTGCGCGCGGATGCGAATGATGTCTCCATCTCTTTGATACTGCGCACACAGGAATCCACACGCTCGATGTACTGGCTCTCGTCTGTCGTTCCACCCTCAGCCCAGTTTGCAACCAAGACGATGACCGCAATTGTAATGTTGTAGAGTGAGTTCCCTATCATGGTTCGGGCACTGCCATGATTCGCTCTGTAATTTTGGGTAATAGCGGCCAGCTGTAGTGCATGGTCTGTATAAATGGTCCGGGCACTTATACTGTCGGGAGATGCATTTGACGTTTCGACGCCAAAGCGCGCTTCCGAGAGCTTTTCTAGTATGACAGCGCTGTGGTAGTGGAGACTTGCTCTTGTCAGTATAGTCTGTTTCATTGTCCCATGGCTATACCTCTTCTCGAAATGGGCTGGATCCAAAGACACGTACACGGGAGCGGAGTAGATCACTTACTGTAGAACCTGGACTGCCGGTTGTGACTGCGGCAGATAGCGGAGGAGAGGATCCAACTTTAATTGCCAGTTACTGAGTTCCTGACGCACAAGCAAGGGCTGGGATAGCTTGTGGTTTCTGAGGTGAATCGATCAGCAAGTTGTCGCACAGACCAGAATATGCTCGCTTCCAAGGGTAGAGCTGCACCAACATTGAGTCGCATATGCGGCCAATAATATCAAGGAGGTCCGTCCAAGCACCAGCAATTATTTCATCCCAGTTATGCACTCCAGGCGAGGCGGCAGGACGGTCAAGTGTAACCACGTCTAGGCGTATTAGGTACGGCCGACCTAGATATGTAGCCCATAGCCTGTTGACGGCAGCGTTAGTCAATCTCACAAGCTCGGAAACCTGCACGCCGCAGGGAACAGTGCAGAAACTACCTATCCAATGTAAAACAGCCCCAGAATGTAGTCCTAAGCACGCTGCTGTCGACTCCACGAAGACTGTTTGGTCTGATAGTTGAGAGTTCTTGATGTAGTCCGAACTCGAATGCGAGACGGACGGCACGTCCTGCGGAAGTAAGTGCTTGCCATTCCAGGAGGACACGGTCGGGCGCAGGAAGAAGGAAACGAGAGAGGCTCACGGACCGGAATCCATCCACCCCCTGCCATCGGATCCCGCGTAGCAGCAGCACAGAACGCTCAATAGTGCTAGAGCCTGCACTGTCGTCACGCTAGCATCGTGGCGGAGCTCCTCCTCGACCAGTGTGGACGCTTTCTTGAAAAGATACGGCTCTTCGAAACGAAAGCTACCGACTTCTGGTGGTACAACTAGCGCTCGAATCTCTGGATAGTCCGATACCCTTGCAGCTGAAGCGAAAATGGCGTAAAGCAGTGCTTTGCTGTAGTATTGACAGCGACCTATCTTCATGTCGTTCAAAAATGCCTCGCGGTTGACCACCTGAATAACTCCGTGCTGGAACTTCCAGTACTGGTCTAGGAGATGTTCTTGTAGTTGGACAGGCAGTTCGCGAGCAGTTTGCTGTGGCGTCTCTGCATAGATTGCATCCGTAAATGTGAACCAAGATGAGATGCTCTCGGCAGTGTGCAAGCTTGAGGAAGGTCCGTAGAAGTGTAGTCGCCCTGCTCTATCGGTGCACAGCCGGGGCTCGGCCGCACATAATCTGCCAATGAGACTGTGAAATCGTCCTCGGGGTTTCTGGCCTTGTCCCAACAGGGGCTGAGGGGGTTCATGTCGAGAAGTTACTGATTCCTGCAAGACGGCTGGAAGGACCTGGTCTCTTGTTTCGCCTGGTGGTACTTCCAGGTTATTCTTTCGCAGCTCGGCCTCGAGCTGGCGAACTCGGCGCTCTAGTTTAAGCGTATAATGTCGGGAAGAATTCCTGTATTTCCAGGTGAGTAAACGTGTCTCTATCAACATCTAGACCCGGGTGGGATTGACCCCAGCACCTCGTCACGGGGTTCATACAATTTTCTCCCATCCTCTTCAGGAACAGAGCATGCCAGGCCGAGCTTAGTGCATCGGGCACAGGAGCGAAGATTATCTCGTTGACACTAGTACTCCATTAACGGACGAGAATAAATTAGCATTGGATATGATTGCAGTGATCTGTAGATATGTTCTACCAAAGGGACTGCACTATACCTTGACTTTCTTTTGCCTGCAAGTATTACAGGCTAGAAAGATATCCTGGCTAGACACATGGCGCCGAGTCCTGCCTTGTCCAAGGGCCGAGGGCTCATTTCGGCGGGCATTCGATGGACTGGTCGCAGCGTTCAAGGGGGCTGGTAGACCGAAGTCGAGGTTGGGCCAGGTTTTCTCCATGGATATGACAGTTGCCAATGATGTGCGGCAGAACCAGGATCGAACCTGCTTTCATGAAGGAGGAGTACAGGATGGCACAACAGCGTGACATCTCGCCTCACCCAGAATAACTGATGTTGAGGGCCTCGGCTGCTTGTGCGGGGACTAATAGCGCATAGGATCCCCACTCGCCCTTGCTTGAACTTGTTATACTCCAGATTCTGCCCCACTTTCCGCTAACCATTCTCCATCCTCCACAAGTTTACTTGGTAGGGACTTGTCCAACCAAAGCTGATTGGCCGATACTTGGATCTCGGGGTTGACGACGCCAGGTTCGGATATCGAAACCTCCGAGGCCTTAGTATCTGGGTAAAACCACACCAGGGGTTTGTCGATAGGACCATGGAGTATTAAAGTGAGTTACGGAAGTCTCTTCAGTCGTTGAACGCACACCACGCTTGTGCGCTTAGTGCTCGGTTCTCGGTCCTAATCCGACGGTTGTTGAATCTCCAGGCCCTCTTTGGATTTGGAGTCATCCGGTTGGAAAGAAGCATTGTCATTCGCAGCTTTTGAGAAAGCTTATAAAAGGCTCAGACTCCTGTCACGGCAAGCTTTTATTTTTCCTCGGACGCAAAGCATCAACATTTCACCCCAAATCTCTTTACACTTACCATTCTCAACGCAACGATGCCATCTATTCAAAGTCGCGCCGTGCGCATAGGGGGATGCGAAGGAGGAATTACAGACCACCATGGAGTTCTAGCACGCATGGCCCAGAACGAAGATGTGGACATTATCTTCGGCGACTGGATGAGTGAGTATAACATGACCACTCGGGGTGTAGAGAAGATACAAGACCCGACAGCACCCGGCTATGAAGCAGTCTTTCTTCAATCGCTGGAACCCGCTTTGGAACACCTCGCGGCCAAAAAGATTAAGCTCGCGGCCAATGCCGGTGCTTCTGGCACTGAGCTCCTGACCAAGCATGTCAGAGAAATCATTGCACGGAAGGGTCTCGATTTGAAAGTGGCTTGGGTTTCTGGTGATGAGATAAACATCGAAGACCTCAAAACCCTTCAAAGGAAGGGCGAAAAATTGCAGAGACTGACCACGGATAAAGAATTTTCCACCTGGGAATATGATCCCATTTATGCCCAATGCTACCTCGGGGGTCGAGGTATTGCAAAGGCATGGTCTGAGGGGGCGGATATTGTCCTCACCGGCCGAGTGTCAGACCCGGCTCCTGTCATTGCAGCGGGCATCTGGTGGCATGGCTGGAACGAGGACCAATTGGACGAGCTCGCCGGCGCCCTTGTCTGTGGCCATCTCATCGAGTGCGGCGCATACGTATGTGGAGCCAATTGGTCGGGCTTCAAATCGCTCGGAACTGGCAAAAGTATTATTAATCTTGGCTACCCTATTGCAGAACTTGCAAAAGATGGCACATGCATTATTACCAAAGAGCAGGGATCAAACGGCGTCGTGTCGACGGAGACTTGCAAAAGTCAGCTCTTGTATGAAATCCAGGGCCCTTGGTATTTCAACTCGGTGCGTTCCGCCTGAATTCGCGCAATAGGCTTCGTTCAAATCCACAGCTGACGGTCCTCCTAGGATGTTGTTGCCGAGCTCTCGAACATTAAAATGGAACAGATTGGCGCAGACTGTGTGAAAGTGTCGGGA